GTGGTTATGAGGACAACAAGCAGGGGCCTGGAACCAGGGTCAAGGGTCCCAGCTCGGTGCCCCCCTCCCGCCCCGTTCCCACCGCAGGATTCCAGGTCCGGGTTCCCGGGCAGCCTCCTGGCGAAGCTGCGGCGCAGGGATGGGACTTTTGCTACAGTTGGCACACGGCGCTCCCTGGGCGGCGCGCTCCATCCCTAACTGAGATTCCGGGAATCCAAGAATATCAGGGTCAGAGTGTCCCTCCTGGCGCTTCTCCATGCCTCCTGCTGGCACTGCCTGGGCCGGGTTCTGCCATGGGGCTGCCAGAGCGGCAGGGCCTTTGGGGGCCGGTGCACATCGGAAGCATGGCTGGGTTGTTGTCGCCGTGGCCTAATGGGTCCCACTCCCACTCCCACTCCCACTCCCACGGGCGCAGCTGGCCTGGCTGGGCTGCCCCCTCGGGGTGGGAGAAGCGAGTGGGCAGCTTGGCTGTGTTCCAGGCGAGGTCCCGGCCTCCCCCAGCTCTGGGAGGGGAGTCCCGCCTGCGTGCAGCTCGGGCCTCGCCTGCCAAGGGGCCTCAGGAAGCAAAGAGCAGCACGTCCTGTGGCAGATACACATCCAACGCATCACCTTTACCATGCTTTAGCGTGCAGATCAGGGGCGGTAAGCACGTTACGCTGCTGTGCAAACATCGCCCCCTCCAGAATTTTGTCATCCTGCAAGACTCAGACTGTCCCCATCCAACGCCAGCTCCCCTTTCCTCCCTCCGCCGGCCCCTGGCAGCTCCGTTCTGCTTCTGTGTCTGTGAACCTGACTCCCCCGGGGGCTGCACACAAGCAGAACCCTACAGGACTTGCCCTGTTGTGTCTGGCCTCTTTCACGTAGCATGATGTTCCCGAGGTTCACCATGTGGTAGCACTGCCAGAATCTCCTTCTCGTAAGGTTGAAGAACATTCCAAGGTGTGTGCCTGCAGCATTTCGTTTCTCCGGGGGTGCTCGGGTGGCTCCCACCTCCTGGCTACTGTGAACAACGCTGATACGGACACGGGTGTGCAGATCTCTCTGAGATCCTGCTTTCAGTTCTCTTGGGTGTGATAATTCAATTTTTTATATTTTGAGGAACCTCCATACCGTTTTTCCACAGCAGCTGCACCATTTGACATTTCCATCAACAGTGCACAGGGTTCCAATTCCTCCACCTCCTTGCCAACACTTGTTATTCTCTGTATTTTTTTTTTTAAATAACAACCAACCTTCTGGGTGTGAGGTGTCATAGGGTGACAGGGCAGCGCTCTCTCTGCTTCGCCAGGGGAGCTGAGACCTGGTGACCCCAGCAGGGGTGGGCAGGATGCTTCCAATAACCAAATCCATGAGGCCAGAGACCAAATCCAGGGGCGGGGGAGCTGTCTCTTAAAATTACACCACCAGCCTCCATATTTTGCTTCCCATAACATGCCTTGGGGCTCTACTCATCTGGAAGGTTTAGCTGAATACTGAAAGGAGAAATACATCCACCAGTTCACCCAGTAGTTGTCAAATTGGAAACTGAAAGTGTGAGCTGGCCTTTAAAAAACACACAGCCTTACTGAGATATAATTCAACACCATACAATTCTCCCACAAATGTGCACGTCAGTGGTTTATAGTATGTTCCACAATATTTCCAAATCAGCCTCAAAGAAACCCCACACCCTTGCCCTCCCCTCCACTCCGGCAACCACCAACCTACTTTCTGTTTCAATATATTTGCCTATTTGGATGCCTCATACAAACGGCCTCATACAGTGTGTGGCCCTTTGGGACTGGCTCCTTTCACTCAGCAAAATATTCTCAAGGTTCATCCTTGCCGTAGCATGTATCCGTGCTTCATTCTTTTTTATTGCAAAATAATTTTATTGCAAAACAATATTCCATTTTAACAAGTTTATCCATTCACCCGTTGATGGACATTTGGGTTGTTTCTACTTTTTGGCTCTTAGGAACAATACTACTGTGCACATTCACGTACCTGTTTTTGTGAGGACATGTTTTCGTTTCTCTTGGGCATACACCCAGGAGTGGAATTGCTGAGTTCTAGAGTAACTAACTCTATGTTTAACCTTTTTTTTTTTTTTTGACACAGCAAAAAGATGCATTTATTTAGTAATTCCTAACCTTTTTGGACCCAAATCAATTGCCCTGACTTTTTAAACCTGGGTACTCTTGGAACAGTCCCCAGCACGTGGCAAGCGCTCAGCAGATTATAGCTATAGCGATTACCCCGACTATTATTACTAAATCAGAGCATAAAATTAGCTGTGTAGTACATGACTAATGTTGTGTAGCCAACACCTCTATCTAGTTCCAAATGTGTTCATCGCTCTAAAAAGAAACCCCGGGCCCCTTAAAGAGTCACTTTCTATCCCTTCTCCCCCCAGCCCTGGGCAGCCATGGATTTGCTCTCTGCCGCCGTGAATTCCCCTTTCTAGACATTTCTTGTAAATGGAGTCATACACTGTGACCTGACCTGTCTGGTTTCCGTCACTGAGCATAAAGCCTTCGAGGTTTTTCCCCTGGTGTCATGTACCGGTACTTAATTCCTTTTTACAGCCAAAAAGAATATGCCATGATTTATTGACCCATCGATCCATTGATGGCATATTGAACTTTCTGAGGAACTGCCAGGCTGTTTCCTAGAGTAGCTGCACCATTTTACTTTGAGCTGGACTTTTTAAAAAAAAATTGTGGTAAGATGCATATAACATAAAATTTATCATATTGACCCAGTGCGAGCTGCCCTTTTTGAGCTCCTGGGCCACGAAGGAAATAGGTGGAAAGAGAATCATGTTGTTGGCCAAGTGGCCGGCTGTATCCGTCAGAGGGATGTGGCCTTGCCAATATGCCCTGGTGCGGGGGTGCCGTGCCTGCTTGCCCCACTGGGGGCTGCTCCAAGGCTCCCACCACTGCCTCGGGAAGGCGGGACCTGGTGATCACGGAGGAAAGTCACAAATACCCACCATGACCTTGAGCTGACTCTTGTAATGCCCTTGGAGCAGTGCCCAGCACGTGGCAAGCGCTCAGTAAATTATAGCTGTAGTGATTACCACGACTCTTATTACTAACATTTTTTCAAACTGGTAATAATAGTAATACCAGTTTTAGAAAAGAGTGTAACTTTTTGCTTGCTGTCTCGTGGAATACCTTTTCCTTCCCTTCCTCTTCATTCCCTTTGCTGTCTGTTCGTGGCGGTTCATTTTACCACTTAGGCCATAGACGGGAGTGTCAGCGAGGGTGGGATGGGGTGGGTGAGAGGCCAGAGGCCCTGGAGCCATAGCCGGCGGCTCCCCTGGGGACCCACTGCCAAGCACCGGGCGAGTCGCCTCAGAGCTTTATCCGAGTTATCACGTCTTGTAAGGAGGCATTTTAAAATTCTGTATCTGAAAAGAAGGGTATGTGTGTGTGTGTGTGTTGTATGTGTGATGTGTGTTATGTGTGTGTTATGTGTGTGTGTGTGTTGTATGTGTGATGTGTGTTATGTGTGTGTTATATGTGTGTGTGGTGTGTTGTATGTGTGAGTGTGTGTTATGTGTGTAGCGTATGTGTGAATATGTGTGTGGTGTGTGTGTAGTGTATGTGTGTGGTGTGCGTGTGTAGTGTATGCGTGTGTATGGGTGTGGTGTGTGTATGGGTGTGTGTGTGTAGTGTGTGTGTATGGTGTGTGGTGTTGTATGTGTGTGGTGTGTAGTGTATGTGAGTGTGTATGTGTGATGTGTGGGAGTGTGGGTGTGTGGGTGTGTGTGTGTGTATGTGTGTGGTGTGTGTGTGTAGTGTATGCGTGTGTGTGTGTGGTGTGTGTATGGGTGTGGTGTGTGTGTAGTGTGTTTGTGTGGTGTTGTATGTGTGTGGTGTGTAGTGTATGTGTGTGAGTGTGTTATGTGTGTAGTGTATGTGAGTGTGTATGTGTGATGTGTGGGAGTGTGTGTGGGGGTGTGTGTGTGTGTGTGTGTGTTGGGCAAAGGATAGAATGCAGTGAATGCCTTTGTTTTTGTCTCCCAACTCTCCCAACTTCCCCTCTTGGCCTTTTCTGGGAACAGCACCCCTTTCCTTTGGGTAACTGCCTCTCCTCCACCCCATGTGGTCCTGGTGGGTGGACTAACCAACAAGCCTCACCTTCATGCCCACCACTCTGCTATGACCTAAGTGTTTGTGTCCCCAAAATTCACATGTTGGATCCTGCACCGGTGTGATGGCTTTAGGAGATGGGCCTTCGGGAGGTGATCAGGTCATGGGGGTGGAACCTCCTGAATGGAATTAGTGCTTCTAGGAACCTGGCCCCTTTCGCCATGTGAGGACACAGCAAGAAGTCTGCAAAGAAGAGAGTCCTCACCAGAACCTGACCATGCTGACACCTTGGGCTTAGACTTCCAGCCTCCAGAACTGTGAAAAATAAAGGCCTGTTATTTGTAAGCCATGCAGTCTTTGGTATTTTGTTATAGCAATCTGAATGGACTAGGACACACTCCCAAACACAGGGCTGGGCATGTGACCTCAGCTAGGGCAATCAGATTCTCTCCCAGGAATGTGAAACTGGAGTGGACAAGACGGGACATATGGCTGAGTCTGAAACAGGTAGAATAAAATGTTCCCAAAACTTGCTCCCTCGAGTCAAGCCCACCAGAACTACGGCAGTTATCAATAGCTATAAAACAATGTTCCAGGAACCAACCTGACTTCTTGTAGGTTTTTCAGATCTAAAGCCACAATACCACAAACGAAATACTCGGTTGGGAAAGTCCCTTCCTGCATCCCATAATAAATACTGCACAATCCCAGAATGCTTTGCTTCACTGATGTATACCCAGACATCAGTGTTCCAAAAAAGGGAAAAGTCTGCTACCCGACTCCCTGATTGGTTAATCCCAGAAACTTCCTGGGACCCTATATCAGTGTTCTCACCCTCTGCAGAGCCTCAACAGCTCTGCCTTTGCTTGGATCAATGTTCCTGGGCTAACTTCTTTTCATCAGGAGACAAGAACCCAAGCTCAGGGATAACAAGTCATCCGATGGAAGCAGCCTGGTGAGTCACCCCCTGAGCTCCCACCAGGCTTCCTATTCTCTCCCAGGGCCGGTCAGTCAGCTATACCTCTGAGGCTGGAGCTGACCAAGGCCTTTCAAAAATTCTTAAATTTAAATTAGCCCAACTCTATCCCTACCATTTGTGTTCAAAGAACGAAAATTGCAACCCCAGGCAGCCAAGGTGTCTGATCGTAACCAGAATCCAAGGTCGGCTGCCTGCGGCCATGAAACCCAAACTCATGAGGCAGGTGCTGGTAAAAAGGAAAGAAGTTTATTCAAATGCCAGCCGCCTGAGGCGATGGGCGCCTCCTGTCACAAAGCCGTCTCTATGTCTCAGCTCAGGCAGAGGCTTTTATAAGGAGGGAGAGGAGAAGCAGAACAAAGAGATCAAGGGGAGGGGTTGAAGGTTCTCTCTGAGCAGCCAGCACAGTCCTTTCCAATAAGAATCCTGAAACTGGTCAAGGGATGGTCCCAGCTTCCTTGTCCTAGTTTTACGGTTGAAAGTCAGCACTTCTCCTAGAGCTGGGATGACTAAAGGTCTAAGTCTGTATCTTCTGAAGTTCATTCCTAAGATTCTTATACAAGCATGCTGTTTATCTACAAGCTAATATTACTCAGAGTCAGCATTTACAGACACAATGGCAAAAGAATGGGCGCGGGGTTTACAGTTTTCCATTGTGACATGATGGTCAGCCAGTAGATTGTCCAGCAGCGATGACTGTCCTCAGGCCCCAGGGTGGGGAGAGGCCCCCACAGGAGGGTCTGACTTCCAGCCATCAGCGTGGTTAACCTGACTGGTGCCCCTATCACACTCACTTAGGTTATGAAAGTGAAAACGTTCCTTGTTTATTAACAATAGACATTCTCTAAATTTCTGACAAGTGAAACAGGGATATTTTTGAAATACCTCCTGGCATATAGTTCCCTTTTTTGGAAATTGTTCCCCCCAACAGACCGCTTTCTTCTCTGACAAAGGATTAAGAACAAAGGACAAGTCGTTGGGGTAAGGGAGGGGCAGAAATGACCTATGAAGTCTCCACCAGACCGGGGCGTGGGGACAAGTCTTCCAGGATGGGGAGGGAAACAGGCCGATGGAGGGACAAGAACAGAAAGTCAGAGGCTGGTGTCGCCTGCAGCTCCTCCCCATCATGGCCCAACTGTGGCAGAGATGGTACAAAAACTGCCCTTGGTGAAAAAGGCAGCTAGGCACAGCGAGGACGTGGGCAGAGCAGGGGGCCGTGCGGCTGCTCAGGGAGAGAGCGGGCAGGGCACCACCTCCCCCTCTGCCCTGTCCAGTCCCTCCGCCCACAGGAGCTCCTCCGGGCCTGGGCAAGGCACAGGAGAAGGCTGAGGGCGAGGGCTGAGGGTTCGGGATCGCAGGGAGCTGGGGTGCAGTTGTGGCTGAAACCAAGTGGGAGGGTGGGACAAAGGAGGCCTCTGCCAGCCAGTGAGACCCCAGAGGGCCAACGCAGGCACCAATGCCCAGATGCCATCTAGGGGCACAGCAAACTTTTAAGGAAAGAGAAAAGGCCCAGATAGGAAATTTGAATCTGAATTTGCCTAAACATTCACTCCCAAGTGACTGACTCTACCTGACAGAGTGGGTTTTAAACAGAAAAAGAATGAGGTACTTTAAGGTAAGTTTGTTTCTTTCAGCAGGTCGGGGCCCTGAGAAAGCTTGGGGAGTTTAAGCAACGACGCAGCCCCATCCTCTGGCTCTCCTGGGCTACGGGGGGCTCAGCTGTTTTCTGTCTTGCACATGCGCAGCATTCCCCAAATGTGGCAGGTCTTTTTGCTCCCTTGGCCTCTCCTGGGGCTTTGGTTTCATAAGAGCTGCTGTGGGAAACACCACCCCTGGTCCAGTGGCTGGCCTGGTCCCGGAGGCCCCAGGACTGAGGACAAACAGCAGGGAGGCCCAGCTGGTCTGGCTGCCGGCCAGCTCCACCTCCAGGACAGCCTCTGTTCAGAGTGGGCCCAAGTTCAGGAGGCCAGACGCCAGGGCTGTAAAGTCCCCTACGGGTCCCAGCTCAATGGGCCCATCAGCCTCCCATTCCTGCTCACAGCACCCAGGGGACATCAGTTAGCCCCCGCCCCCTGTAGAGCCAAGACTGAGTGACTGGGCGACACCTTCTGCAAAGCAGCAACCCTGGTGTGGCCTCAGGTAGGGCGAAGGAGAGGATGGGGGAGCTTTTGGGCAAATAAATCTGAGCAGACCACAGGGCCCGGTCCCAGCTTGCACACACACACACAGATACAAACCTCAGCCAGACCCCACCATGAGCTCATTCCTACAAGTGGAGTGCAGAACTGGCTCTGCCTTTGCTCAGCTGCGGGACCACGGGCAAGCCACCAACCCTCTTGAAGTCTCAGTTTCCTTATCTGCAAAATGGGCGAGTCAGGACCATAGTCCTGTATCTCAAAACATGGGGGCCAGGTGTGTTTCAGAGTTTCCAATTTGGAGTTTTTTTGAAAAGGTACAGATACTGTGCATTGTGTAACATCTCAGCAGCCCTCCTCACTCAAACACGGTTAATATTTCTACAGTGACGCAATGAATATTCAGAGTAAGTGGGATTCATCAAAACTATAAACTTGTACCAATTCAGGTCAAGTTTTACCACCCAATGAATTAGGAAAAAAGTTTCCGTTTTCAGAGAATTTTGCATTTCACATCCCGATAAAAGGTGTTAGAGTTTTAATGTCATTCCCCTCAGAGGGTGGGACAGAGATGTGACAACAGTCATCACAGCTGCCCCTGACGGCGATGTTGGGTGCTCATTCCACGGGGGGCGCTGAGTAGCTCGCTGGGGGCTCCTCGCCATAGCTCCGGGCCCGGGGGCTGTTTTAAGGCCATTTCACAGATGGGGAGCGGAGGCCACAGCTCAGGCGATACCGCTGGGCGGGTGGCTCACTCCAGAGTCCTTGCAGGACCACCCAGCCGCCACCCAGCCTCCACTGATCCCACGGCCCCCTCCCCTCACATCTACCAGAGAAAGAGGCAAGAAAGAAAGTGAAAACAAAAGCGGCTTCTCGCTTCTCCGCTACCCCGGGGTTCCTGGAAGGGGCGTGGGCTTTAGGAGGAGGCAGCTGGCAGCCCCGCCGGGAGAGACGGCGGGCGGCCGGCCGCGCTCGGACCCGCTCTCCCCTCCGTCCTCGCAGCCAGCGGCTCGCAGCGCCCGCCGACTTGGAGGCCCCGGGCAGGTGAGGGCAGGAGCCGGGGGTGCAGGGAGAGCAGGTGGGCACAGGCAGGGGGCAGCTCGGGCCCGCGGGGCGGCTGGGAACAGGAGCTGAGGTCAGGCTGCCAGGATTCGAGTCCCTGCCCTGCCGGTTACTAACTGTGAGCCCGGGGAGGGTCTGAAATTCAAAATTTTTTTTTTTAGTAGATTTTTAGAGGGAGAGGGAAAGAGACAGAGACAGAAGAGAGAGAGAAAAACTATGATTTGTTGTTCCACTTATTAATACGTTCACTGGTTGATTCTTGTATGTGCCCTGACCGGAGATTGAACCTGCAACCTTGGTGTGTGGGGTCGATGCTCTAACCAACTGAGCTACCCGGCCAGGACTGAAGTCCACATTCTTTACTGATAAATCAGGACAGGAATCTCTCCCTCACGGGCCATTTGAAATTCAAATGAAAATCTGATTAAGAATGTGACATGACCAACCACGTCTTCCCCTCCATGGGCCCGGGACCCAGGGCCCTAAAGGGAGAGGGCCTGGCCCCCAGAATATGGACACTTCCAGGCCACAGGTGTTTCCCTGGAAGTCCCTACGGGAGAGGCTTAGGGGTGTCATCTTTGTAGAAGAAAGAGGCTGGGTGAGTTGTGGAGAGTGCAAAGCCAACCCCAGTGTCTCCTGGATTGTAGGTTTTTTTGGGGTGGTTGTGGGAAGGGGGGGAGGGCGGCTGGTGATAAAGATTAAGGGGGCTGTCCCCAAGCTGTGTTTTCAGAGTAACCCACATTTTCTTACTTAGAGTGCATGTGGGGGGGGTCGGTCTGTGGGGACGAACAGTTGAGGAACGCAGGGGACTAAAGGGTCCCCCAGCAGGCCCACAAAGCCCGTCAGAAATATGAGCCGTCCAAATGAAATAACACCGCTAATCCAGCCATCAACTCTGTTGTCTCCCCTCAATCTGCCAAGGTCAGTGGGGAGGGAACATGTTCCGACCGAAGAGCTCCCCGCCTTCACCTCTGCCCTTCATCTGGTAGGACTAACACGACAACTGGGGAGGCGCCACAGGTGCTGGTGGAGAGGGGGACCCCGGGGCAGTTTCTAAGTCTCAGCCCCACTGCCGTTTTGGGCGGGATCCTTCTCTGTCGTGGCCCATTCTGTGCATTGTAGGTTGTTTAGCAGCATTGCTGGCCTCTACCCACTAGATGCCAGCAGCACCCCCCAACCCCCCTACCACCAATATCTACAGACATTACCAGTATCCCCTGGGGAGAAAGCTCACCCCTGACTGAGATCCACTGCTCTAGGCTCGTACTAGCTGTTGTCCCAGCTGGAATCACACTGGGCTCTCCCAACCATCAACTGCATGACATTGGCCTCCCTGTGCCTCGGTTTCCTCATCTGTAAAATGGGAATAATATTAGCATCTCGTTCACATTGTCAGAGAGGATTAAAGGTGTCTAAAGTAGGTAGATGCATGTCTGGCTGATTTATAGGCCATGGGCACCCTGGAGCCAAACCCTCCACACCCCACTTTATAAACCAGAGAGGAGAAAACCTTTTTTTTTTTTTTTTTAATCTTTGATGTATTAATTCTACCCGAAAGACTATCCCAAAGAAATAACCAAGCATTATTTATAAAACTGAAACTGAAACTGAAAACAACCCAAAGATTCAACAGCTGGGGAGTAATTAAATACGAAACAACACATCCATAGAATGAAACGTTACACAACCTTTAAATACCCTGTTTGAAACTATTTAGTAATATGAGGAACCACTAGAATATAAAGTTAAGGGACAAAAATTCACGCAAAACCACAGGAACCTCATGAGTTTAACTTTTTGTTTTTTAAAATAAAATGCTGACGGTGTTTATTTCTGTGTAGTGAGAGTGCAGATGAATTTTATTCTTTGTTTCTAAATTTTCTATCATAAATCTGCATTCATTTAAATAATAAGGAAAAAAGGGGTTATATGGATTTTTCTAACTTCAAGATATGTAGGGGAGGATTCGTTTTCTAAGAATTTTAGAAGTCACACAGGAACCGGAGAAGGGGAAGGAGGAAGGTCATGAGGGCGGGAGGGGGCATAGATTTTCAAAGACCTATTTCCAAATAAGGCCACGTTCTGAGGTTTCAGCTGGACATAAAGTTTGGGGGCACATTATTCAACCCACTACAGGGAACAGCCTTTAAAAATTTGCCTGGCCAGTGTGGCTCAGCGGTTGAGCATTGACCCATGAACCAAGAGGTCACTGGTTCGATTCCCGGTCAGGGCACATGCCCGGGTTTCGGACTTGATCCCCAGTAGGGGGCACGCAGGAGGCAGCCGACCAATGTTTCTCATCGATGTTTCTCTCTCTCTCCCTCTCCCTTCCCCTCTCTCTAAAAATCAATGAAAACATATATATTTTTTAATTATTTAAAAAAAATTTGTTGGTATCACAGACAGGCACATGGGAAAACTCATTGATACAAAAAGTATAAAAGGGTATACAGTGAAAAGCAAGTGTTTCTTTCATCTCTGACCCTTAACAGTATTAACTAGCCTTTTGTCTATACAAACACAGGTATCTTTTTTGTATACAAAAGGAAGCATCTGTACATTGTGTGTACCCTGCCTTCTCATTTACCGATGCATGTGGGGGATCCTTCCGCACCTGCTCGTGTAGATTTGCCTCATTTGGTTTCATGGCTGCGTATTATTTCATTACTAGATACGCCATAGCTTATTTAACCAACCCACTTTACAAGAATGCTGGGCAGCCTTTAGACTTTTTGAAAACCATGAGTAATGTTGCAATGCTTCTTTTTTGTATCTGCATGCAGTGGCTATTTTTTTAAAATTAGACTTTTTTTTTTTAGAGCAGTTTTAGATTCAGAGCAAAATTGAGGGGAAGGTACAGAGGTTTCCCATATACCCTCCCCCCCCCACATGCACAGCCTCCCCCATTATCAACATGCCCTACTGAGCCTACACTGACCCATCATCACCCAAAGTCCATAGTTTGTATTAAGGTTCACTCTTGGTGTACATTCCGTGGTTTGGAGGAATGTCTAAGGACATGAATCCACCATTAGGGCATCACATAGAATAGTTTCAATGCCCCCCAAATCCTCTGTGCTCCACCTCTTCATCCCTCCCTTCTCCCAGCCCCTAGCAACCACTGATCTTTTTACTTTCAAAATTGTGCCTTTTCCAGAATGTCATATAGTTGGAATCATAAAGAATGCAGCCTTTGCAGACTGGCTTCTTTCACTTAGTAATATGGATTTCCGTTTCCTCCTTGTTTTTTCATGGCTTGGTAGCTCATTTCCTTTCACACTGAACAATATTCCATTGTCTGGATATCCCAGTTTATTTAACCATTCACCTACTGAAGGACATCTTGGTTGCTTCCAAGTTTTGGCAATTATGAATAAAGCTGCTATAAACATCCCTGTGCAGGTTTTTGTGTGGACATAAGTTTTCAACTCCTTTTGGGTAAAATACGAAGAAGCCCAATTGCTGGATCATATGGTAAGAGTATGTTTAATTTTGTAAGAAAGTGATCAACTATCTTCCAAAGAAGCTGTGCCATTTTGCATTCCCGTCATCAGTGAAGGAGCGTTCCTGTTGCTCCACATCTTCCTCAGCATTTGATGTTGTCGGTGTTCCGGATTTTGGCCATTCTGATAGGTGTATGCTATGTTTTCAAGTTTTAATTTTGAGATAATTGTAGATTCACATGCAGAAAGATCCCATGTATCTCCCTTTACCCAATTTCCCCACCAGTAACAGTTTACAAAACTCTAATATATCACAACCAAGAAGTTGACATGGATACAAACCACTTATTCAGATTTCACCAGCTTCCCTCGCACTCCTGTGTGTGTGTGTGTGGGGGGGGGGGGCATTTAGTTCTACGCAACTTTCTCACACATGCAGCTTTGGGTGGTCAGCATCACAGTGAAGATACAGAACAGTTCCATCGCAAGGACACGTTTGTGCTACCCTTTCATGGACACAGCCACCTCCCTGGCCTGCCACACATGGCTCATCCTGCAGGTTTAACTTTCCAAGTCCCTCTGTTTCAGATGCGTCTCTTTTAAGAAGTGCATGTAGTTGGACTTTGCTTTCTGACCCAATCAAAGAGTCTTTTCCTTTTAATAGAGCATTTTTATCCTGCTTGTTTTATGAAAAATGCAGAAACTACTGTCCCACAACACTTAATGAGATAAGCATTTTACTCTCGCCTTCACAGGTAAGGAAAGGGAAACAGGGCGGCGAGTGAATTTCCTTGAAATCAGGGAACTGGTAAGTGACCGAGGAGGCTTTGATCCACTTTACCGCGCTGTCTCTCTCCTAATTTGAAGGTCATCTTTCTCCTGGCGCAGGTAAGACATCTCAGCCAGACACCCTGTCACCCTGAAGATGGGAAAGAGCCAAAATACCATTTCAAACGTGGCAACAATACAGACATCTCAAATCTACCCGGGTAAGCTTTCCCCCACCCCAGCCGTTTTCACTGGAGGGTAAAGCAGAATCCAGTGGTGTCTTTGTAAGAGAAGATGGAAAGGAGAATGGCCCAGAACACATAAAAATACAAGGACACGCAAAAACTCGGCAGTCACACACCAACAGTTTGTTCCCGGGAAACCCCGGTTGGGTTCAGGCTGCCGGTCGCTGTGTCCAGTTCAGCGGAGGCGGGGTTGAATCATATAAGGCATCTGTTGAGAAGGCCGGCCACCACGGAGACAGGGAGCACACGAGCATCCAAACCCTGTCTCACCGCGCGGCGGGAGGGACAGGGTTACAGAGGGGAGTGGGGTAAGTTGAGGCTGGAACGGAATGCAGCCACCTGCAGCCCCAGAGGGCCGCAGACGCCAGCTATTGCTTTGACCGTTCTGTCGATGCCCAGACAAAACCGCATCTGAGTCTTGCGGTCAGCACTTGTCTCTGGCTGCTCTGTGCCTCTAGATTTATGACTGTTCTTATCGCCCTGTGGGTTTGGGTCCAACCAAAACCGGTCTGCTGAATTCAAAGGGAACACAAAGGGCCTGGAAAGGACAAACTTGCCACAATATACATCATACTATGAAACAAGCACAACTAGTTATACAATCAAACTATAAATCATAATATTCAGGCTATTGCACCCCATCAAGTTCACTTGATTCCAAAATGCCGTTCTTAGGTCTCCTGTCCTTCCCCAGCTGGCCTCTCCTCTCCTCCCTGGCTTAGCTGCTGGAGTCCTCCAGGGCTCAACCTTGGGCCGTGCTTGGCTTCTATGACTCTCTCTCTAGGGTTCACGCACAATTTTGTGGCTTTAACTACTTTCTACACTGACAGCTCCCCCATTTAATCTCCCAGCCAGAACAAGACCCATCTATCCACTGTCTACTCAGCGTCACTTGGATATCTAATCGGGTATCTCAGACTCAGCCCACCCCAGACAGAACCCTATTCCCTGCCCAGGAAACCTTCCACCACCTCAGCAGATGGGATCTTCGCTGCAACAGTCCTTCAGGCCCCAAACCTGACTCACCCTGAGGTCATCCTTGACTCTGCTCTCTCCCATCCCACATCCATGGAAAAATCCTGTGGATCCCTTCAAATCCATCACTCTTATCATTTCTACCAACCTGGTTCAAACAGCTGTCTCCTCTTGCTCTGATCGCTGCAATAGCTTCCTAATGGGTCAACCTGTTTCCTCTCTTACACCTAGAGTCTATTTGCCAGCCCAAGTGATCATTTTAACCTATAAATTAAACCAGGGCCACTGCCAGCCCAGACGGTGCCTTAGGGCTTATCAGAAAAAGCCCACCCACAAGTGGATGTACCTCTGTGTATACACATATCTACAAGTGGATGACAACTTCGTGCAATCAATCAATTGATCGATCGAAGTGCTCCTCTCTCCAGAGACACACAGCACCTCCCCCCACCCCTGGTCCCCAGGTCTCATCACTTGGCAAGTAGATTCTGGGAGGGATTTCAGACTCCACCTGCATGCTCAGACAGGGCCTTCTGCAGTTCTCATAATATTATTATGTCCTTGGGAATATAATTTGTATAAAGGGGCCTTATAAGTTGTTGCCTTGTCTTGTAAAGATGAGCTTTTAATGATTTACAATCAATTCATTCATAATAGTCAATGGCTGACTATTGATTTGAAACAAACAGATCAATTGATAGAATAGATAAGCAAATTGTAGTGTGTTTATATAATGAAATGCTATACAGCAATCATCTTTTAAAAACTACTGATACCTACAACAATTATATGAAGTTCAAGAACAGGAAAACTAATCAATGGTTACAGAAATCAGAATAGTGGTAACCTCTGGGGTGGGTATTGACAGGGAATAGTTACAGGAAATCTTCTGTTCTATATCTTGGTCTGGGTGATGATTACATGGGGGGATATATATACATATATATATATATATGTGTATATATCTCAACATTTATTGATTTATGGAGCTGGACTTCAATTTATGTACTTATATATAAACTGTACTGCAATATAAAATGTAAGAATAGTTTGCCAATATTTAGTATAAGTGTTTCACTATTATTTTGGTTCCACATTTGTAAAATCCCTCCCACTTGAATTTCATAAGGTTTTGTGGCACCTGCACTCACCTTGTTTTCCATGTTTCCAACCAGAAGGTCATTTGACCCCAGAGGACACCCCTAACTTTCCCATGGGCGAGATGAGCACGGAGGTGAAGCTGCCGGACAACCAGGCAGAGCAAGAACTCAAGGCTGGAGTTGGTTTGCAAAGGTAACCCAGCGAGTTTTGTCCCCGGGGACAGGGACAAGTGGCAGGCATCCTCATGATATGCAATGGATGTGTTCCAAATGTGCCAGCCAGACGGGGGCCCTGTCCTCCCACTCAGGAGGTATATTCTCCTAGAGAAAAAAATATTCCACAGGGTACACTAAATATTTTGGAGAGCAAGTCAAGATCTAATTAGGTACATGACATTGAGTAACGGGACGCTAAGGGTATAAACTGTCCCGCTCTAGGGGCCTCAGCTTTGTGAGGCCTCGGAAGCAGGAACTCAGTCTTTTGGGCTCACCCGTCGTCAGGAAAGCCGTGCAGTGTTTCTGCATTCAGAATTTACGCCCAGTTACCTGTGGGTCCGCAGACGTAGCATCCCCGGCCCCCAGCACAATAGGGGCGATCAACAGACGTTGGCCAAGTGAACTCGGTGCACCGTGTGCTGTCCTCGTGAACCAGGTTGCAATGTGACATTGTGTCAGTGGGCACTGCTGTCTCATACAGGATGTACTGTGCCCAAAATGTCCACATTTGAGGCATTGGGCTTAATTTTTAAAAAAGCACAAGCAGCCACGCTTGCCTTAGCTTGTCGATCACGTTAAAGTCAAGACTTTAGAATGAATGCAAAGTGGTGGTGTCGCTGCAACACATAGCAGTTTGTTCTTTCTTTTTGTCCCTACAAACCTGGGAAAGACAGGGGTCAGGGTGGCTGGCTGGTGGCACCTGTAAGGTTTGGGGTTCCTCAGCAGGGCCTTCCTCCTCGCCTTCATCCCACCCCGTCCCACCGCAGCCCCTGGCAACCCGACACGCAGCTGCCAACTAACTGACAACGGGGCTTAAATTCATTAACACTAAAGGGTTTCCCTGGTAGGACATTTCCCATCCTTTCCCACTGAGAAAGAGTGTGTGCGTGGTGTGCATGTGCGTGTGTGGAGAGAAAGGACAATGGAAGGGCACATGCACATACGCCTCAGGAGGAATCCGACGTAACTGATGGGCGAGGTGAACAACTGAAGCTCTGCGCCCCATTCAAAGCTCCCCCTCGGCCCCCGTGTCCTTTGGGCGAGCCTCCTTTCCTCCCTGGGCTTCCACTGTCTCCATCAAAGAGTAAAGGCGCAGCTCAGCTCCTCTCCAGGGCTCCCCCAGCTCAGACACGCGTCTGCCCGCCCGCACCCCATCACTTTAGCCTGTTTCTGGTGTCCCCTTCCTTCTTGAATGTATCAAAACGCACACTGGGCGACAGGTGGCTTCCGGGCTGCCAAAGAGGGTGTACTCTCTGCCCGAGTGCAGCCTTTCCTCGGACCCTCCCCTTGGCGCCAGGGAATCTGTGTCGTCTCCAGGCCTCCTGACCTCGCCCTGACGGAAATGCACAGTGACACTTGGCACGAGGAAAGTGCCCACAGGGGTCGGCTTTCCTCTTCCCGTCACTGCTCTCCCATGGGGGACACACTCCATGGCCAAGACCCCTTAACCCTTCACACTATGAGATATTCGGGGAGCAGGCCCTGGGCCCACTGTCCCTGACCTCTCCCAGGAAGGACCAATCCCACCTGCTTGACCCAGTGCCAAGGAGAACGGCCAGAACGTTACTGGTCGTTTGTCTTCGCCCTCTTGGTGTGCTGCTCCTCACAGAAGCAAAGACACACCACGGTGGCCAGGCTCAAGGTCATCACAGTGGAGGTCGCGCCACACAGCAGGGCGCCTCCTCCCTCGGGCCCGCCTCGGCCTCTACAGAACTTTCAGCCTCCCGCCCAGCACCCGGCCTCCCCCTCCACTAGCCCCGGGCTTCACGAGGGCCTTAGCGTTTCCCCAGGGCCTCTTGTCGGTGACAGTTCCACATTCTCTCTGAACACGGCCACAAACATCCGTCAGGGTTACCCTCCCCTCTGCCCCCCCTTTGGCCAAGGCTACGTTTCTCCCACGTGCCCCTCCAGATGCCCCTCTTGCATGTTGCTTCCCTCCCTGGCACCGCAGCCCCCAGTGCCCTGGGACTTTTCACGGCCCGGTCGGCGGGAAAGGAGGTGTCAGGGAGACGCAGGCAGGATTCCAAGGCGGGGTGGCCGGAACATGGGACAGCGCCCGGCCTAAGAGCGTGGCTTTCCCAGCTGGGACACTGAGGCCGAGTCTTTATTTCCCTCGTCTGCAGGGCCGACGCTGACACTCCCCTGGGTGAAGATGTGCAGCAACTAGACGGATATCTGTCCGCCGAACAAATAGTGCTTTTTAAAAAAGAGTTTCCCGCTTTTAAAGAGCGACAAGAAGCAATCATCAGAGAGTACCGTGCCTTTGCTGACGACATCGACAAAACCCACAAAAATTTCATCAAGACCAGCGTGGTGACCAGCTCCGTGGCCGTCGTCTCCGGAATGGCGAGCGTCCTGGGCTTATTCCTCGCTCCGGCAACAGCGGGAGGAAGCCTGCTGCTCTCCGCCGCCGGCCAAGGGCTGGGGACAGTAGCTGGGGCCGCCAGCCTCTTGACCGACCTTCTGGAATACTTTCACAATAAAAAAGTTCAAGCTCAGGCCAGCAGGGAATTGTCTACCGTCAGTCACAAGGTCGAAGACCCTGCAAAGGACATATCCCATTTGGTAAGTGCTGGAAAGACCATCTATGACTGCAGAAGAGCCATCACGGCCATCAAGAAGAACAGCAGTGCCCTGAAGATAGCCAGAGCCCACCCGAGCCTGGCCAAGGCCGCCAAGCGGTTTGTGGCCACCGGCCAGCTCCCGGCCAATCGGATCGAACAAGTGCAAAAGGCCTTTGGAGGTACGCCGCTCGCGCTGGGGAGAAAAGCTCGCTGGCTGGGCGGTGTGACCGGGGGCCTCTTCCTCAGCATGGACGTGCACAGCCTCCTGAAGGACTGGAAGGAACTGAAGGACGGAGCCAGGACAGAGTTGGCACAAGACCTAAGGGCCGCGGCTGAGGAGCTGGAGAGAGAGCTGGAAGAGCTCACCCTGCTCTACGAGAGCCTGCAGCAGGAGGTGGGCTGTGCCTTCCCTCGGGGTGGGCTGGAGGTGGGGGGGAGACAGAATCCAGGCTTGTGGGCACCCAGGTTACCGGAGGGTGTGAAGGAAGCCAGCCCGTGTGACATTTGCATGGCTGTTCCTGAGGACGAGGGGTTCTTGGGGGTGATGATGCCAGTCCTGGACAGGCCTGGCCATGCCTTCTCTTTCTCCCTGATGACCTGCGGGGTCCCTGGGCTGGGGAGAGGGTCTTCCAGTTGTACAGAAGAGGGCGCTGAGCCACAGGGAGTGTTGGGGATGGAAATGTTGCTCCCTAATATTCATACGTTGAAGCTCCAGTGTGAGTGTTTGGAGATGACGCTTTGGGGAGGTGATTGGGGTTTTATGAGGTTGTAGGGGTGGGGACATAATCCTAAGGGACTGGTGTCCTTATAAGAGGAGGAAACACAAGAGGGATCTCTCTCTGCCTGCACCGGCCCAGAGAGGCCATGTGAGGACACGGCCAGAGGTGGCCATCGGCACACCAGGAGGAGAGCCCTGACCAGAACCAAACTGGCCGACACCTTGATCCAGGCCGTGGAGTCTCCGCAGCTATGAGAAAACACATTCCTGGTGTTGAAGGCCCAGTATTCTGTTAGGTGGCCCGAGCGGACTCACACGGGAGCTCACGTCACTGCGGGGCCCTCCCAGCTGGGTGGGGGTGGAGGCGGGAGGACCAAGCCAGGAGCCCGACTTCAGAGCTGGGCCCGACTCTGCCCTGCCCCACAGCTCTCCTGTCATTGGTGTTTTTGTTTCTTTACTGAAACTCTTGCAGGAAAGAAGCCTTGGGAGCTCATCTTCGGAGGAAGCCAAGGTGACACTGCCTCAGCCCCCAGCCAAGCAGGGGGAAGCAGGACCCCTGGTGACAGGTGAGGCGAAGGCAGGCTCAGCCCAGGGGCCTCTGAGTGGAATCAAAGGGGACAGCATGGGGCGGGCAAGGTTGGCAGAGAAAATGCCTGGAGACCTACCACCTGGGAGGGCCAGCTGGGTCCCGAGGGCGCTGTCAGCCAGTGAGTGTCCTGAAGGTCAATCTGCCCCCTCTCTTCCATGGCTCCCCTGTGTCTTCATTGTTGCTCATTCCTTCCCTGGGGGGGGGGTGCTAACTCAGTCACTTGCTTCCTCAGCCCCCACTCACTCTTCCAGTCAGCCCACATTCTTGTTTCATGCTGGGCTCCAAATTAAGTGTTGATGATAAAACAATAGGGTCCCTGGTGTGAAAGGTGTCACCCAGAAAATAAAAAGGCCCTCCGAAGTGAGAGGGAAACAATTGTTTATTTGAGACCAATAAGGACAGCTATTCAGGAATCACTAATCCAGGCAGAAGCCCAAATAATATTCTGGTTAGGAGACCAAGGCCAGGGGTATTGATGAGACAGGGAAGGGGAACAATTACTCAATAGAAGGAAGGCATTTCTACTGGTGCAGATAACGTAACACAGTGAGGCTAATTCTAAATGACGTTTTTCATGTTCAGTCCCGTAGACATCATTCCATTAGTCACAATAACTGCTTTCTTGTCTTTGTAAACAGTTTTTTGGGTTCAAGATTGCTTAGGCCCAGTCCGAAGGTCATTTTAACACTCCAAAGGTTTGAGGCATACTGTGCGCAAGGCAGTTCCTCTGGGATGGCAGCTCCGGCTCCACTGCAAAGCGGCCCCGTTTACATAATTGTTAACAAGGGTGTGCTGTGTGGTTCCTTCAACAACTCACCTTCAGTTTTTTCTCTGCTCTCTTTCTCCCCGCCCTGGGCAGCAATGGGTGGATAAGATCCCCCTTTGTTTGCACACAAAAGGATGTCACTGGAACCGGCTCAACCAGATTCCATTAGGAAAGAGAGAGGCCCTGTCATCCCCAAGACCCAGGAGCTGGAACTGAGTTTAGGACATCGGAACTCCTAGGAACTGCCCTGCCTGCCCAGTCCACCTATCTTAAACATGTTTTTGTGTATGTGGGGTTTTTTTGTTTTGTTTTTTGTTTTTTTTATGTTTTAGCTGCTCTCTTAAAAGTAGTGCATTGACGTTAAATACAATTTTTTAAAATTCCGGAAAGTAAAAAATAGGGGGGAGAAATAATGCGCCAGCCAAGGTGACAACTGTTGGTGTTTGGGTGTACAACTTTCTTCCTGTGCTTTTCTTGGGTTGGGTGTTAAGATACTGGCTTTGCGTAGCTGTCATCAGTCTGCCTGCTGGGAGCCCTCCCTCGGGCTGTATTAGCAGATTTTTTCATTCTCAATGCCCTCATTCCCCTGCAGATCTATTTAGTTTTCCTGATGCTGTTTTCACTCGGTAATGTTTTCTACCGCTCTGCGTTCCACTTGGATCTAATAAACGTTGCTTTTAGGTTGTAAAATGTTCTCTTGACTGTACGTACAATCTTTTAATTAGACATATATTAGTCATCACTTTATCAAAACCAACTCAAACTTGGCCTATACAGAAAGAGGGATTTATTGTCTCACGTACTTAAAAACTTTAGGGGTACAAGTGGGTGGGCTTCAGGTGTGTCAGGAGCCAGACGATAAAAATGTCACCTGGCCTCTGCATGTCTCAAGATGTGCCCCCTTCCCACCTGGCAAACCCTACAGACCCGCTCTGACAGGTCAGGACTGGGTCACGAGCTCTCGCCTCCGCAGGTTGATGGGAACTATATGGAACTTAGGTCATTTCCAGTTTCTTATTATACATGGTGGTAAAATGAGCATCTGTATGCCAAAAGGTTGTTGGATGACTATTAGAATTTTTTTCTTAAAACAGAGTACCTAAAATTAAAAATGACCTCATGGAAAAAAGGAGTCTTCCCCTCTGCCCTCCACAGTACATTAGTGAAACAATTATAGGACATTTGAGAGAGAATTTACAGGTGGAGGGGAAAGAGCAACCCTATCAACATTGTGGGCGACACCTGCCAGTCTTGCGGTCTAGGGCGTTAAACACTCTAATCCCACCCCTGGGCCACCGTGTTTTCAGCTTTTGTTGCTCTCAATTCTTTGTTTTAATTTTTCCATACCTGTAAGTAAACAGCTATCTCCACATTTTACATTGTTCTCTTGTGTATGAGCATCCTTAGAGTTCAGAATAAACATCATCCAAAATAATACGTGGCATAACATAGACAGTCATCAAGCTTGGAGTTTGGTTTGTCTGGAATTTAGAAAAAAAGAATGAATTAGAGAATGGAGACTTGAGACTCACCTCAGACATTCATTTGCCTGGGCCCGTTTCTGAGCTTTGGTTTCTTCAGCCATGAAGTCAGTGTGACCTGAACGAAACCCACCGCTCCCTGTGGGCGGGAGGGTAGTGCCCCTCACAGAGATGGGTGTCTGGGAGAAAACACCCTTCACAAAAATTCCAACCCTTCATAAAGTGTTTGTGCCAATACCAAGGGAGGTGGGAGAGGCTCATTCTTCCCTCTTCCCTCAGTCTCAGACGGTCTTCCACGAGGCCAGAGGCTCTTGCACTACCTCCCCCTACCTGCCTGGCCGGCCCCCCGTCTGACCCTCCCCTGCTGTCTGGCCCCCCCCTCCGTCTGACCCTCCCTTTCTGTCTGACCCTCCCTCTCTGACTGGCCCCTCCCTCTGTCTGACCCTCNCTGACCCTCCCCTGTCTGACCCTCCCCCTCTGTCTGACCCTCCCCTGTCTGACCCTCCCCCTCTGTCTGACCCTCCCCTGTCTGACCCTCCCCCTCTGTCTGACCCTCCCCTGTCTGACCCTCCCCCTCTGTCTGACCCTCCCCTGTCTGACCCTCCCCCTCTGTCTGACCCTCCCCTGTCTGACCCTCCCCCTCTGTCTGACCCTCCCCTGTCTGACCCTCCCCCTCTGTCTGACCCTCCCCTGTCTGACCCTCCCCCTCTGTCTGACCCTCCCCTGTCTGACCCTCCCCCTCTGTCTGACCCTCCCCTGTCTGACCCTCCCCCTCTGTCTGACCCTCCCCTGTCTGACCCTCCCCCTCTGTCTGACCCTCCCCTGTCTGACCCTCCCCCTCTGTCTGACCCTCCCCTGTCTGACCCTCCCCCTCTGTCTGACCCTCCCCTGTCTGACCCTCCCCCTCTGTCTGACCCTCCCCTGTCTGACCCTCCCCCTCTGTCTGACCCTCCCCTGTCTGACCCTCCCCCTCTGTCTGACCCTCCCCTGTCTGACCCTCCCCCTCTGTCTGACCCTCCCCTGTCTGACCCTCCCCCTCTGTCTGACCCTCCCCTGTCTGACCCTCCCCCTCTGTCTGACCCTCCCCTGTCTGACCCTCCCCCTCTGTCTGACCCTCCCCTGTCTGACCCTCCCCCTCTGTCTGACCCTCCCCTGTCTGACCCTCCCCCTCTGTCTGACCCTCCCCTGTCTGACCCTCCCCCTCTGTCTGACCCTCCCCTGTCTGACCCTCCCCCTCTGTCTGACCCTCCCCTGTCTGACCCTCCCCCTCTGTCTGACCCTCCCCTGTCTGACCCTCCCCCTCTGTCTGACCCTCCCCTGTCTGACCCTCCCCCTCTGTCTGACCCTCCCCTGTCTGACCCTCCCCCTCTGTCTGACCCTCCCCTGTCTGACCCTCCCCCTCTGTCTGACCCTCCCCTGTCTGACCCTCCCCCTCTGTCTGACCCTCCCCTGTCTGACCCTCCCCTGCTGTCTGGCCCCTTCCCCTCCTGACTCGCAGCCTCAGCAGCTCTCCTGGCTCCCTCCCTGCCCCGCCTCCAGCCCCAGCTGCCCTCGGGGTCACCGTCTCCTCTGAAGCGCCATCCCCTGCTGCACCCGGAGTCCTGGCGCACATGCCCTCACCTCATTAGAGCTCCACCAGTTAAACCTTCACTGCTCGCCGAAGGAAGCCCATTGACTCTCCAAGCTACTCAGGGCGACCCCACCCCACGACTGTCCCTCCCTCCGGGTGGAGTGGGGTGCTTCAGGTGTGCCCCTGAGGGGGCGCAGACTCCTCCGGCGTGGCCAGTGAGGCCAGGAGTTGGAGAAAGCCGTCCACTCTCCCACGTAACCTCTACTTTCTAAGATGAGGAAGAGACGCAAACTCCAATGCAAGTGGAGCGATCAGCTCTCAGAGGCCCCGACGCCGCAGCCAACACCGTCGGAGGCTTTTCCAGAGTGTTGGACCTTCCAGAGTGGCCAGTGAACTTGTCCCGCCCATGCTGAGGTCTGTGACCTCAGGTGGTCCACAGGCCTGCTCATGACCTGCCCTCCCATACTAGAAGCAAAGCAGGGATCTCAGTCACCAAGCAGAGCCCCAGAGTGGCTGGGGAAGGGGGATGGACCCCAACTGGGGTTGAGAAACCTCACTTTCCCAGTTCCATTAGCACCTCACTAGCTGTGGGAGGTCTCAAGGGGCCTTCCTGTGTCATTCCAGCTTGTCCGGGTCCACCCTCACCAACCACGAGCTTCAAGTGGCCCTTGAATGTGTGACGAAATGCAAGCTGTTGTCACCTGTAAGTCACACTCCTTTGGACCTAAAATCTAACATTCAACCAAAAGAAAACCAAAAGGCCGCTGTTCGGTCAGCGCCCGACGTTACCGCGAGGGGGATGCGGACAGGAACCAGGCCGAGAAGCACGCAGGGGTTTGGAAGATTCTGCCGCAGCATCTTCAGTGGGCTGAGACCAGCAGCACAGGGCAGCCCGAAAGTGGGGGTGAGCTTTCTCTCACAGGGGCTTAGGATGGGGTGAGGGTGGCGGTGCTTCTGTCCCAAAGTAAATACACTCTTTCCTCTGAGGCGTTTACCATAAAAGGTGCTGGCCTTTACCTTTTGTGGTCAACACCCCCTTGTGCTGAGAAAGCCAGAGTGTGTCTGTGCCCCCCCACCTGGTGCTGAGCGGTCCCTTATTTATCAAGCCCTTTGTCCTCCGTCTACCAAGCACAGCAGACAGTGGTCGGCGGTGGCCGGACCCTCGGGAGCCCGGCCTGAAATTCCAAAGTTAGGAAGAGGCGTCTTTGCGCTGCGGGGACCCAGCGTAGCAGCCAAAAGCGAGCCAGCTAAAGAGAGGGTCCCGGCCTGCACTCCCGCGCACGGGGAGACCCCGGCCGGCTGCGCTGCGCTTCTCTTGGCTGGAAGATGCGGGGACATATGTGCACTCACCCTGCAAGGCGGTTGGGAGCAAGCGGGAGGGAATGGCCGTGAGGTCCTTAAGGAAGCAACCGGCGGCCCGCTCAGTGGCTGCAGGCGACCGGCACCGGCGGCGGGCTGGCGGGGACTCGCCTGCTTCCTCTTGTCCAGCCGCAGTGTCTGCAACATAGTTGGTCGGTTTTGAGTAAAAAGTCAAAAAGATAGAAGCGTTATCGGTTTCTAGATAAATTCTAAAAGGTAAACCCAAGATATTATGAATCAAAATATCTCTTCTCTGCGCCTAAGAACTGATAGCATGCCACAGAAATATGCAGGGACATGAAACTGACAACTGTCACACGCACTCGCAGGTCCTCTGAAGACCGCTATCCTTACAGCTTCCCAGGCGCCGCCCCAGTATTTGTCCTGTACACGTTTTCTGTTTTCTTCTTTGGGGAGCCAGTCGGCATAGGGTGGAGCCTCTATCCCAGATGTTCTGGCCGAACTTTCTTAGCATTGTCTCCGGGTCATTTTGCCCACTTTCTTCATCTCTGTCTTTGGTGCTTTTTTTTTTTTTTTTTTTTTTTTCAAATAGGGTGACTTGTCCCTTGTGTGCCTTCCCATAAGCATTCATTGTGCGACGGCTTTATTTCCCCGGCTCTTCTTCTCAGGCGCCCCAGCTGCCACTCATGTCCCCGTTGTCCTGCTGCGCCTCCCTGGGGCCTTCGCAGCTGTTCTACGGTCTTGCGTCGTCAAGGAAATGGTTTCCCTGACTTTAAAAAAGTTAATTGCCAAACAAGTGTTTGCAATTTTCATTGGCTTTTTGGCAACACTTTCCAGGTGTGTTCTTCACCTGCCATTTGTTTTTCTTGTTGGTGTCACTTTTTTTTGGTGATTTTTTTCTTGTGGTAAAATATATATAACATAAAATTGACCATTATAACCATTTCTAAGTGTCCAGTTCAGTGGCATTACGCACATCCATACTGTTGGGCAACCATCACCACCGCCCGTCTCCAGAACCTTCTATCTTCCCGAACTGAACTCTGCACGATTAAACGCTCGCTCCCCAGGCCCTCAGCTCCTACAATTATGGCTGTTCTCACTCTTCCCCTTTCTGTCTCCCTGAACTTGGCTTTTCTACATTCCTCACAGAAATGGAATCAGACACTATTTGTCTTTTGTGGCTGGTTTAACTTTCTAGGGCCAGGATGGAGCTGCTCCTGCCCAGATGCTGCAACAGCAAAACTCGGGTAACTTTCGTGTTCCTGCAAGTGTCCTGCTTGACCAGAAACGCACCGCATCTCGCCAGCTGATCCCAAAACCTCAGGCCACCTCTGGGCCTCCTCACGCCAAACCTGGTCAACTGTGTGGCCCCAGCCAGTCAGATCGTTCCTGTTTGCCTCTTCCTTGTTTCTCATTTTTTTTACCCCATAAAAGCTGCCTGGCTTCCACCTCATTTTGCGTTTCTCCGAAATGCACTTCATGAAGCGCTATGAAGTTTGTTTGTAACACCTAAATTGCCTTCTTTAATCTTCTATTTAAAGCTGGCATAATGCCTTCAAAGTTCCCCCTGTTGTCGCATTATCAGAACTGCATTCCTTCCTGAGGCTGACCGCTATCCCACCGCACGCACACCCCACATCTTGCTCAGCCGCCCGTCCGCCAGGGACGCCTGGGTGGTTCCTGCCTTTCAGCTGCTGTGAAGGTGCTGCTGTGATCACGGGCGCACACATGTCCCTTCTAGACCCTACTTTCAATTCTTTTGGGTGTACACCCAGAAGTGAAATTGCTGGATCATACGGAAATGCTATCTTTGATTTTTTTTAGTAACTGCGATAGCGTTGGCGGTGGCTGCACCATTTTATATTCCCACAAGCAACGCACAAGGGTTTCAATTTCCCCACCATCTTGCCAACACTTGCTTTTTGGTTGGTTGGTTGGTTGTTGGTTTTTGATAATAGTCATCCTAACGGGCATGAGGTAGTATCTCCTTGTGGTTTTGATTTGTATTGCTCTAAATCAGTGACACTGACCATCTTTTCATGTGCTTATTGGCCATTTGTATATCCCCTTTAGAGAAATGCCTATTTAAGTCCTTTGCCCATTTTTTTCAATTGGGTTGGTTGTTTTCTGTTGTTAATATTTTTTGTGTAGACCTTGTGCTGGCTGCTTTTTTGCATGGACCGGCTATTTGTAGGAGATTTAAATAAGGGAGAAGCCAGGGCTGGCGGAACTGTTCTTTCCGATCTAGGGCTGTTTTCAGTCTTTACTTGTCCCCGGGCAAAGGACCTGGTCAGCTTTCAGACTGTTCGCAACGCAGTCTTTTCTGTCCGTCTCAGGGACAAACCGCACCCTACCAGTATGGCTGTTCCCACTGCGTTCCTCATGTAGTCCTGTCTTCACTGCTTCTGCGACCCAGTCCAGATTAGTGCCAACTTGCATACCTTGTTCTTACTATTTTAAAAAGGGATTTTAGTTTTGCACTTTGCAAGTCCCGTGAAGAGGGGCTTTTTCCTGAAACCTGTGGCATTGCCTCTTTCTGAAACCCGCAGTTGTCAGCATCCTTTCCCCTTTCCCTCCCAAAGCCTCGCTCAGTCCCTTTGTTTTGCATCCTTTTAGCCTAGTTTACCCATTTTTCCTCGTTTCTAATAGATGGTGCTTGTGTCATTTTTTTGTGGCTATTGGATAATTGCCAAGAGAAGAGAAACTGGTAACTTGATCCATTTATCTTCGCCCCAAGAGCTCACAGAAAGCGTTCTGAGCACCTCACATCATCACGCGGACAGGAACTAGACGTGGCATCAGACGAAGCAGACTTCGGTTCCCCCCCCACCTCTCCCCCCTCTTCATAAAATCCGTCTTAGCAAAGGAAATTTAAGACCTTTAATAGGCACACTAATAGGTGCCCAGACACCAGGCCTATCGGGTGTTGGCGTCTTGGAGCAGGATTTGCTCCATTTGCCCCAGTCCAGGAACACTCCTTCCCCAGCCCTTCTCCAGCCTTGCCCCAGGCACGAGACTGTCTAGGCCTCGCCTTGAGAACCACACTCCTGGGATCTGCCTTTCCACAGCCTTTGCCTGGCCACCTAGACTCCCCGATAGAGCCGGGCTGCAGGTTCTACTCAGCATAGGTTCTGCTGCCTGACACAGGCTGTACTCACTCTTGCTAAAGTATCTAGAAGTTTCTGTAAAATGAGGTGCACTCTTCCACTCTTTAGATTCCTCCCCACAGCTCCACTCAATCCCGAGATAACTCAAAACATTGTCCTTCCCATTTGCTGCTGGCTGATGAACCGACTTGGACTAAATGGGGTCGCTTTCCATGTGCCTGCGAACGTGTCTTCCCTCCTCTGCTGAAGGCAGACAGGCGGGGTTTCCTTTCTCAGTGGTGAGGCCGAGCAGAGGCTTCTGGGAGGCTGCAGTCCTAGGTTCTGTCAACCGATGGGCGCTGGCACCAATTCAACACCAACAGGAATCCCCAATTTGGGGTGTGGCGAGAAGGAAACTCCGCTTGGTGCAAAACAACTCAAGTGCATAGCTGCAAGGCGGCCCTGGGCCAGGCCGCTCTCTGGCTGGACAGCCCTTCTCGGCTCTGCGTGGCTCTGCTCTGTGCTGACATCCGTGTTGCAGCTCAGCCGGAATCACCCCCCGGCCCTGGGGAGCTGGTTTACACAAACAGAAGTCCCCACCTCTGGTCCCTGACGGCCTGTTCTCATGCAAATAAGGACTCCAAATCCTTGCAGTGTGATTGGTCCAAAAGGGCCAGGTGACTGTCCTGATTGGTCAGCATAGAGCCTCTCTAATTGGTCAGAGCTGTGCAGCTCCGTTGGATGGGGAAGGCCTCGGTCCTACTGGTTGAAATAGGGTGGCAGGAGCTCATCCTCAAGGGCTGGTGCGATGGCAGAAACGGGGGGGGCGGGCAGTTCAGTGCGGCTTCTCCCTGAAGTGCACTTTGCAGGAGGCCCCTGAGTAGAAACGGCTGCTAGGCTCTGTGTGTGTGCCTGTGTGTTTGTTTAATTTGAGCCCAGTTAGCCACCAGGGGCCCGTCTTAGTAGGTCTCTTCCTTCTCAGGGCCCACAGTTCTCTCCCTAATTCCATCACTACCTGGACTGTGACCTAGGATTGGAAATCACCCGGCTTGGGGCCAGCCTTCTCCTGTGGAAGAGGGATGGACTCACTGCCCGTGAAAGTGGCAGCCTGCCTGTTATCGTCAGCGCTGGGAAGCCTCAGGGGTCAGCTGTCCTATTCTTTTCTCAAAGAGCCCGCAGGCAGCCTCACAATTCTTCTCAAAGTGGCCTAGACACCTTTTTACCAACAAGGGCTAGGGACTTTGCACCTCTTTGCTATCCATGTACCAGAAGATCTCGGTGAGCCTTCCAGGTCTAGCATCCCACAGCTCTTTAAGATTTAGGTTGGAGGGGGGCTGAACTCCTACGTGTGCGGAGACACCCCAAAGAAAACTCTGATTAGGCCTTTTTTTAAGAGTGACTTGATGGGGAAGGAAGTCAGATGGCCCCTCCTGCTTCCCTGGGGAGGGGAGAGTTGGCTGGTCTACCTGAGGCTGCTGATGGCCTTGCCCAGGGAGCAGAGGGCTCTAAAGCCATTGTCACCTGTTCCTTTGGGGCCTTGGGGCTGCTTGGTCTCAGCAAAGACTTCCTGTGAGCCCTGCCTCTTTCCCAAAGACACGCTCTCCAGTATCCTAAACCTACTCCCCGACCATGGTAGGTGCTCAGTTCGAAGGGAGACAGGAACGAACCTGAGGGTCACACAGGTCAGACTCCTGTGTGTGGCAGGAAGCTGACTGCAGCATCCTGCACAGCATCCGTCCGCTGGGAAGGCGCATCCTTGACAAGGCGCTTCTCCTCCTGGCCTGTTAACACATGAAGAGGGTGGAGCCCGCTGCTTCTAGGCACCACCACCCATCTGTCAGAAATCTACTTTCAGTTTCCAAAATACACACGCGTCAGAGTGAATGACACTCTCCCTGTGGGAGAGATGATACTCGGGTGTCTCACTGGAGGGCCTCCCACCTTTTTCTTTAGATTACTTTACCATTGTTTGAATAATTCTAATACATGCACGTTACAAAACTTAAAAGGAGCAAGAGGGCAAACAGTGAAAAGTGTGTGTCCCGTTAAGCTTTGTCCCCAGCTCCCCGGCTCCCCTCCCCAGAAGCAACCACAATTTTCAGGTAGATCCCCTTTAAACAGAAAAGAAGGAAACTGAGACAAACCCTCTATAGGCTATTTATTTATTTTTATTTTGTAATCCTCATCCGAGGATATTTTTTCCATTGCTTTTCAGAGAACGTGGGAGAGAGAGAAGAGAGAAAGAGAGAAAGAGAGAGAGAGAAACATCGATTCGATTGGTCGTCTTGACTGGGACCTGGGATTGACCCTGCAACCGAGGTACGTGTCCTCGGCCAGAATCGAACCTGGGACCCGTCAGTCCGCGGGCCAGCGCTCTAACCACCGAGCCAAACCGGCCAGGGCCTCTGCAGGCTCTTAGTTCTCTATTTCCCAGGATAGAACTGATGTCTGTACAGATGTATGAATTACATATGTGTGTGCATATATGTATATATTTATCTTTATTGTTGAAAGTATTACAGATGTCCCCCCTTTCCCCCCACTGACCCCTCCACCCCACACCCTACGCTCAGTGAAATAAGCCAGTCAGAGGAAGACAAGTATCACATGCTCTCACTTATATGTGGAATCTAATGAACAAAATAAGCTGACGAACAAAAGAGACCCAGAGACAGAGAAGCATGGAACAGACTGAGGGGTCTCAGAGGGAAGGGGGTGTGTGGGGGGCACACATATGTATTTTTTTTAAGCAAAAATTTGGTGACAAAAGTCAGTGGTGCTTTAAGTTGTGTTTGATTTATCACATCAGTGTCACAGCCAGTCTGGATGTGCAGAGGGACAGCATCAACCGTCCTGCTGAAAACACAAGGGGGACAGGCCCAAGGGCGACCCTCTGTCATACTGCTCCCCAGTTGTACCGTGACCCCCAGGGCCCTGCTCCCTGAGTGTGTTCGAGAACTCAGACGACCTAAGAGCCTCTCGCCTCCCTGGGGAGCCTGTCCCAGAGCTGGAAAGATACCTGTGTGACGCAGTCTGTCCCCAGGCATGAAGCCATTGTGCCCCACTGCATCCTGGTGCGAGGTGCCGCGACTCGAGGAGGGGTCCAGGCCACCTGGGAATCTGTCACAGGAGGAAAGAACGTTTCTCTTAGAGTTTCCCTTGTGGAGCTTTAAGACGGGAAAGATGATCAGAGAACTTAACAGCATCGCAGACCAAGTTGACACAACCACAGGATGCTCACCAAGACCAGCCTGGTAGCCAGCTCCTCAGGTGCTGTGTCCGCCGTCATGACCATCCTGGGTGTGGCCCTGGCACCTGTGACAACAGGGGGGAGCCTGATACTCTCAGTGGCTGGGCAGGGCCTGGGGGTAGCAGTTGCTGTCACCAACATTTTGACAAGTGTCTTAGAAAACAGGAGCAATTCGGCAGCGAGAGACAGAGCCAGCAGACTGGTGGCTCGTCCAGTGACACTGGAGCAGGGGACTGGTGGAGGGACAGATATTTCCGAAGTTAAACGGCAGGGATTCGCGTTAGGAGGTGTATTGAAATCCCCGGGAGCACCAGGCAGCTTCGTGCCCACCAGGCCGCCCAAGCCAACCCTGGCTGCATTGCGATGGTCAGGAACTTTGTGGCCACAAGCCGTGGGCCCCTCTGGAGGGCCACAGGGGTGCAGAGACCCGCGGTGCCCAGATGATGAGCGCAGCTGGGGCTGGCTTCTTACTCGTGCAAAGTGTCAGCAGCACCGGCAGAACTGGAGGCGCCTGGAAGGGGGCGAGGACAGAGGTGGCCGCAGATAGATGACATAATCACAGTCGCCTTTCCCACACCCCTCACTTAAATTAGGTCCCTCCTGTTGTTTCCAGCACCCTGTGCTGAGCACACATTTTTGAGATCACGTGTTTGCTAGGCGCTGGCTGGCTGTCTTCCTGCCGAGCACCCCCTCTGGGCACCGAGCGGTGCTGGGCACACAGCAGGTGCACCATACATCTGTGTTGAATGACCCGAGTCTGGCATTTCCTGATAAAGGTGACATTTCACATGAGTTGAGAAAGAACCTTTATTTGAAAACTAGTTTGTATTTCTAGACTCTCATTCAGAGCCATTAACTATCTATTTGTAAAAAATGAAAATGACTACCAGAAAATGAAGCAGAATTTCAAAATTCCTCCTTAATTCTACAGAGAGGGTGGGATGGGACTGGGTTGCAAGGCCACTGCCCAAGACCCTGGCAAGGGACACAGAAGACTGTGAGACTCACAAATTCATTGTCATTAGTTCAGGTAGGTCAGACGTTCTGCGGGGGCCCCTCCCGATGTGGAAGCGCTGACTCCTGATTGTCCCTGCGGGTGGGACGCTGTGGGGAAGACAGGCAGAGACGCGACTAGGAGCACACAGCGTGCCACGGCCCAGAAACAGAAGCCTGTGTGGTTCCCCTCACATCCAGGCTTCTCTTCAAACCAAAAAGCTGGTCCTTGGCTGCCGTAGCAGCAGCTTGGGAGCATGGAGTGAGGGTGTAGTCCAAGCACCTGCATGGAGCTGACTTTCTGATCCTGAGTTTTACATGACACCTCCGGGGAGTGTGGTTTCGTTCCCAGCACAGCCCGTGCCTGTCACAGCTGTGGCCGTGTGTCCCAGGCTCTTTCTGTGGCATCTTCAGGAACTCTGGCAGGTGCCCCAAGGAGGCGTTAGAAAGCTGGGCATGATTAATCTGGTCCTGTGACCTCTGGAAGCTCAGCCGAGAGGGGAAAAGACAGGTACGCTTCCCTAACAGAGAAGCCAGTGGCTCCAGGTCATTTCCCAGCGGTGCCAGTGTGTGGCTGCGTGTCACCAACCAGTTTGTGTGATTAACAGACGCTGCAGGTCTGGGCTGAGCTTGGGTCAGAGAAAAGCCTGCCTCAGTTAAAGCCGTTGAAACAGGAACAATTTTGTGTGGAAAGGGTTCAAGCCAACAGTGTAAAATGTATGAAGAGCATACTATGTGCTGAAAACGAGTCGACTTTGGATGCTTTCGGGCTGGGCCAGAGGCCCCGACCCAGCAGGGCAGGTGCTATGGTGGCGTGTGGTGCGGAGCAGCAGAGGGCAGCAGGTCGAGGCGACACCTGAGCTGAGCCCTGAAGGTCGAGGACAACTCCACTTCGGGGGGGCGGTAGAGGAGCAAAGGCAAGGGGTGCGGGGGCACGGCTTCTTCGGGGGGACAGGCTCTGGTGACAGGGCAGGTGGATGGGGTGGCCTGAGACCAGCGTGAGGCCTTCAGCGCCATCTTAAGGAATTTGGATTTTGGACGCAGGACAATGGGAATTTCTCAAGGCGCATTTATTCTGGGAGAATCGGGGTGGAGGGCAGAGGGGGGCCTGACTGGAGGAAGGCATTGGAAGCCGAGGTCAGGCCTTTCTGTCAGCAGCCTGAGTGTGCCTGACCCGTAGGGCTCATGTTACTGTTGCTGTTTCACGGATTCGGGCAGAAGACACAGGACGGCGGAGACAAAGGACTTCATCGCTCACGCACAGCGGCAGCAGGAGCTCAGCACGGGAGCTTCCCTTGGGGCAGGCGGCAGGACGGGATGCGCCGCGCACGCAGCAGGCCTACAGCGCAGTGGAGGGCACCGGACGCACCTTCCTCGGCAGGTGGTAGGCAGCTTGATCTCTGTCCGAGGGACGCCTCACTCCTCTAGGACGCTTGCCGCGAACACCCCCTGAAAAGGCCTGGAAGGAGCAGCAGGGCCCGGCAGAGGCGAACCCAGTGAGATGCACAGGAGCTGGGGGACGGAGGAGCGGCGGCCCGGCACCGCCTCAGGGCTGCGCGGCACCGAACGGATGTACGTGGAGGGGTCTCACCAGTGCTCTGAAGTGTCCGCTACGAGTACCAGGGGTCAATATGGAGGCAGATATGGAAACATCATTTTAAAAAATTGAAAAAAGTAATTCAACAAATGTTTACTGAATGCTTCCATGTGCCAGGCACCAGAGATACAGCAGTGAACAGAACAAAGTTCCTGACCTCCAGGTGCTTCCACTAGAAGTACAAGGAAAATAAACCAGCAGGGAGCACATCGCCTCAGGCCTCAGGGAAGGGGCAGCGCCTGGAGCTCTGCACAGAAGCCCATCACCCTGCAATTTATGCTGAAACAGTCTGTTTAGAGACCAGATGTGGGCGGGGTGCTGCTGCCGCCAGGAAACAACAGAGGTAGAGGCGTTAAGGAGCCAAGGCCAGATGTGCCAGCTCGTCCTGGGTGGCAGCAGTGGAGGAACTCACTGCCCCTGGCCTGCCACAGTCCGACAGGCAAGTGGAAGGTCTCGGACCGGGCAGCACTGGACGCCAGGAGGCAAGTGCACCCAGAAGGGGCTGCTACGGTCCTGGAGGGAGAAGCCCGCCGGCAGCAGGGTGAAGAGTAAGCGGACGCAGCGGGCAGAAACTTACTCCAGAAGTCTGTGTGGAGAGGACTTGGGATCTTGAAAAATTGTTCTTATGGGTTTAAAAGACTTAAGCATGTTTAAATGCCGCAGGGACTAGAGGGAAAAGGTTAACCATTCAGGAGAGGGCAACAAAGCACGTCCCCGAGAAGGAGGGAAAGGACGGGACGCAGAACGCGAGCCCCTCTTCCAGAGCAGGAAAAGGGGAAGAATGGGTGTGAGCTCAAGAAGGTGTTGCAGACCTGGCAGCAAAAAGTTCACCCCAGGAGCCCCCGGGACGGCCTCTGCGTTCCCGGTGAAATAGGAAGCAACCGGGTGATCTGGGAGAGGTCGAGCTGGAGACCTATGGAGGTCAGAGACTTGCGGACTACTGGCCGGAGGGAAGGTGAGAAAGCCCAGGTAAGCAAGAAAAGCGCCAGGCGGGACCCCTGGAGGGGCGTTTCCTGCAGGTGAGGGGAAGGCTCAGGAGCCTGGTGGCCCTGGCGGCACAGGTGGGAGGCAGGAAGGTGCCTAAGGCTTCAGGAAGGTCCCGCGGGTGGACTGGGCCCAGGGAGGTCATGGTGAGGGCAGCAGCCAGGAGTCGGAGAAGATGGAGGGTGAGGCAGTGAAGCTGAAAGGAGCCGGCAGGAGCACAAGGGCGGCTTCTGCAAGGACCGGAGCTCACGAGGGAAGGCAGCCAAGGGGAGGCCTCACCGACCTCCCGGCTCCCCACTCCTTAGAGGGCTTAGAGTCAGGAAGCGCTGCAGTTTGCCGCCGCCTATTTCACCCTAAGAAGCCAAATCCAGCCCGGCCGGGCGTGGCTCAGCGGTTGAGCGTCGACCTAGGATCGTAGGCGATGGGGGTTCGATTCCTGGTCAGGGCACATGCCCGGGTTGCGAGCTCGATCAATGACTCATCACTGATGTTTCTCTCTCTCCCCCTCCCCTTTCCTCTTTCCTCTCTCTGCAATCAATAAAGATATATTTAAAAAAAGAAAAAAAGCTAAATCCAAGTTGTAACTTTGAGCCTCCAGGAGGCAACAGGGATTATGGATCAACACACACAGGCCAGAGGATGGTGTTTCTCTCTTTTATTTAAAAACAGTGCTTCATTACCATTGGCAAAGGCAGAGGCGGTGCTCCCCCTTCGCGTAGAGTTTATAAAAGCCAGCAACATGATCAATAATTTATACACATGGATAGTAATACAAAAAAATAAGGAATAAAAGCTAAAGATCTAACTACTCCGACCTTCACAATTCCAGCTACTTGATAATAATAGGAGTAACCCAATGAATACTGTATGGTCTGAAAGCTACTATACAATATGATTCTTAACGAGAAGGGGAGGGAATCAGAGACTGTCACAAAGCCCTGGGGTGCTTCTCTGGAGTCGCAGGGAAACAGGACCCTGGGCAAGCAGCTCGGGTGTCCTAGGAAGTGATCTGGGGAGGGGGTGGGAGAGAAGGCGAGGTGGTCAATTATACAAGCATCCCACGTGATGTCCCCCTGCCCCGAAGGTACCTGTTTTGCCATGGCAATGGGAGGGGCCGGAGAAACGCATGTTGCATGTGGGGATGGTTGAGTCCCTGCCACGGGGGTGGGGGAGGAGAAGAGGTTCTGTGGCGTTTTCAGCCTTGCAAAGATGTGGACTGAAGAGCTCAGAGGCTAGGGAGGTCAGCCCGTTGGGACAGCGACGACCCCCCCAGCTCTCAGCGCTCTGCAGCCCTAGCTTACGTGTGTCAGCCCCAGGTTTGCTCCAGCTTTCACAAGCAGAATTATAACACAAGAAAAACAATTCATATCCCTTAGGGAAAAAGAGGATCAGTTCATCACTCGATATATAATACAGCCAGAACGAGCTGCCAAACAAGCACACACACAAGAATACTGTGAACAGAAAGGTACAGGAAATGACCAAGCTCGGAGTCTTGGTGGGTACAGACACTGCTTAAAGCACTTAGTCCCCGGGAAAACCAAACCAAAGAAACGTTTTTTAAAAATTCAAAAACTAGTGGACCCCCCCTGGGAATCTGGTGTCAGTAACAGGGATGGGGGTGGGGAGAGAAAAGAGAACCAATGTTCCCTTTCTGCCTGCCAGCGTGAACCGAGCCCTCGCGGCGCCGGCACGCACGTGACGCCAGAGGCCCGAGTCCACGCTGGCAGTCTCCTTAAAGGCAAGGCTGAGTGCTGGCTGACGAGCGGTTCCCAGTTACCAATCCTGCCAACCAGCACTACCATGGCTGAAGTGATCGGCCGATTTCCTGAGTAAACTGGAGCTGGCTACAGTGCCGGTAACGTGGGTGAGAACTCGGCTACCACAGCCAGCTGCGACACTCCAGGACCCCCTCGGCTCCTCGCGGGATGCGGGCATTCAAGAACCTGCTGCAGCGTGGGCTGCGAGTCTCACTTTAAGACAGGTGCCAGGGACTCCGCCGCACTCCTAACCACGGGCAAGTGCTGGCCTAGGACACCCAGAGCCGACCTGGGAGGGCCTGCTTCATGCTCTCGCTCTCGGATGGCTATTGCCTGGTTGATCAGTAAAGCAAGTATGAAGTACAGAGGAAAGGCGAAAGGGAGGAGGGAAGAGGCTTTTGGACAGTAACATTTCAAAAAAAATAGTGTTTTCTGCAACAGAGAATCAAGTTTCACTGGTGTACACTACAAATGGTCAAACATTTTCAAGAGCATGACAAAATAAAAACACACAAATTTACGTCTGATGTTCACCTTGCCCACTATTTTTTTCCTATCTTAAAACAGTGCAAACAGGTAACTTATGCGTTTAAAACACCACGACCCCTTCCCCACCCCCCAAAGTCCCTTTCCTCCTATTACCTGGGGGGAAATCTGCAATTCTGCAAATGTTACTGTGCTAGAGGGCTGCAAGCAGTAGAGAAGCAGCCGGCTGGCCTTGGTGAGAGGGGAGGGTGGTGTCCCCTCCCTTCCTACGTGTCCAGTACCCTCCAGACCGGCCCTCGCTTGGCCTCGTTCTCCCACCAGCGTGAAGGGACCACCACGCCCTTCTCGCAGATCCTGGAGTTGCTTCCATCCCGAGTTCCCACCTCCCTCCTATCTGGAAGCTATGTGACTAGTCATAGGGTGATGGCGACTCACCAACTTATCTGCTAATCTCTAGGAAAGTAGAACCTAAACTAAGAGCAGTTCAGCCCCTGAGGAGTCGCTTTTGAGGAAAAGCTGCTATCATTTATTTCTATGAAATAGGTCTCCACTAGCTCCCCTTAAACTGAGTTGAGCCCCAGTCCCCTTCTTTTTCAAGGAAAAATAAAAGTGGCTCAATTCTCACTGTGACTGTTGGAGGATGGTGGTGACGATAGGTTTTGTAAAACCTGAGCGCCTTAAAAGCAACGAATCACCAGGACTGATCCGGGTCCATAGGAGCTGAACTATGTAATGCAAGGGATTCTGGAAAAGACCTAAGGACAGCTCTCTGGGCTGAAAGAGGCATATTCAGATAGATTTCTGCTAGAGGTCTCCTTTAGCTAAAGGAGGCCGGCATCTAAAAGTAAGATGCTTGTATAGGAAGTTCGAGTCATGAGCTACAGTGAAGTGATGAGATCATTCCTGTTCTGTGACTCAGCATCAGTAAGTTTTGGGAATTATCAACCAGCACCCTCTAACAAACTTGCAAGATGTCAAACTCTTTTCTGACTGTGGCTTATCCAGTGGGGGATCAAGTCAGGAACCCACAAGCACTGATGCCTTGAGGAACCTGCCTCTGATGGAGCCTCAAAGTTCAAAAGTGGGTGGGAAGGTCAACCCCATCAAATCCAGGTGTTTCAAGAGCCCTACTTCTCAGTGCAGACACAGAAAACCAAAGGCCTTTAGTGAAAAACAGAACTCGAACTTGTCCTGCTCAGGAAAGGGAGCTGGAGGAAGCAGCGTGACCCCCAGGGGAGGGTGGCAGAAGTCCACCCAGAACACGGAGCTTGCCCTTGGGGTCCTCAGCCAGAGCCAGCTAAGCTGAAACAAACGGAGCTTCCACCTCTTTAAAAGGGTGTGGAAGCTGCCTTCTCTACCTTTCCTGTCACCCTTACTTCTTTCTGGAGGAGAGGAGACAAGAAGGAGGAGACTCTCAAATTTGTTGCCCTCCTCTCCTCCCTGCTGCGGACACAGCCGTTCAGAATGTGGCCGTCTCCATGAGGAGTGTCTTGCCATTTCGTGAGAATGGCCCCGCTCTGAACATGACACAAAATTTCTGTTTCTTTAGTCAGTAAAAGCTCTCCCTCAAAACAAAAGCAAAAAAGAAAGAAAAAACAATCCTCCCTGCCCCCATTCCCTAGAACTTCCCATCCCCCCACCTCTAACTAAAATATTTATATACATACAACAAAAATTGTCTTAACAGCAACAAACCAAACTTTGGCTTGGGGAGGGGAACCCTTAAAAAGCGGCCAGTGGACGGGGCAGTTTGATGTCCTCTATTCTACAGTCCTCCCCAGAATCAACAAGAATTGCATCGAGGCCTCTAGCTTCCTTGATGTCCCCGACTTTCAGGGTCAGCCCCTCTCCCAGCTGCTAGGAGAGAGAATTCCGAAGGGGGAGAGATATGTGTTACACCCGACAGGCCAGGTCCTCCCAGATAAAGGCTCTGCTTACAAAGAATGCTTGATGCTGTCATACGTCAGTCATTTTAATTCAGGGACAAGAACATGTGTGGAGGCAGGAGTAAAAAAACCCAAACCAAACCCATAACAAGCCAGAAGCTCCATGTCTCTGAATTCCTCCCTGTATCAGCTATCCCTTGGGTGAAAGGTCACCCTAGTACCAATGTGAGTAGACCAGAGAGCCAGACAGGCCATGCTTTTCCATTTTCAATGCCTTCATGTTGGAAATGCTGCAGGACCCTTGCCTTTACCATTAAAAGCTAACAGCTCGAAGAGAAACACTTTCTCCCTTACCTAACAATATATATATAAAGTTGAAGCCAGGCAGCAACAGCAGTGACTCACTGCCACAGCCGCCCTGTAACTCCTGGCCACCTCAGCCCTCCTTCCATATGGGAGGAGGGCAGCCTCGGGCTTCGTTTTCCGTCCTGTAGTGTGGATGTAAATCAAGTGGCCCAGGCGCTCAGCTGGGGTCTTTGGAGGGTAATGAGAAGCTGGGTGGAATGACCATGGGGCTCAAGACTGGAGAGAAGTGACTCATAAAGGCTCTGGATGAGAATTCCTATGGCTTTGGAGCTAGTACAAAGTGCCTTTGCTGCCCTGACATGCCCTAATCACCAAACCTTCCAGGGACAGCTGACCCAGGACTCGGTGCTCCGTCTCTTGCCAAGAGCCTTTACTCTCTCTTCTGCTCTGTACTGCTTTTCTGATGAAGATCAGGAGGTCAGAGTGCTTGCAGACACCATCGAAAACCCCTTCTCCTCTCTTCGCCCTCAGTACGGGCTCTTGACAATCAGTATTTCACCCTCTAGCCCTTCCAGTAAGAAATATGGCCACTAGCTCTTTATTTATTCTTCTGTCCCTGGGCCCTAAATTCTTGAATCTTGAGGACATGGGGGCAGGGTGTTAACAAATGATAGATGAGCTAAGCTGTGGTTCAATTAAAAGGGAAGCAGCCCGGCAGGAATGCCAGGATGGCAAGAAAGAAAAGAATCTTTTTCATTCTCCAGAGTTCATTCTGAGATTGGTTTCCTAATGAGGTGTTTATTATCCACAATCTGAGAGCATGTTTGGAAATATTAATACCATAATTCCAAAAACTATGCCAACTGTCTCAGGCTGTGCATATAAGATGATTGTAAAAAGAATGGAGAAGACAGTAGGGAAGAGGAAAGGAAAGTGTCTTAAATTCTCCTGTTCTGCAAGCACAAATTCCTATCATCTATCAGCATGTGGATTCCAGCCACAGCCAATCAGAACTGCCTGCCAAAGACCAGACACTCAGAGGACTAGAAGGGTATCTGCTGCAGAAAGGTCTCTTCCGCTCCTGCTTGTCACCCAGCGTTCAGCACCAGATACACTTTGGTAATTCTGTCTGCTGATTTCTGATCAGACGTATTTCTCAGCTCCTAATGTCTCTCCTCTCTCATTAACTGCCTCTTCCGTGACTGACAGAATAAGCTAAGCACGGACATACAGACATGGAAATGCATTTTTTTTTTTTTTACCACAGTTAAAAAAAAAAGAAGGAAAAAAAAAAGAAAAAAATGCACAATCTTTGGAACAAAAGAATTAAAGGCAGAAATTTAAAGGAAAATACATATTCAAAGAACATAGTGAGGTATAAAAAAGTATTCTCTCTTTTTTTGTGTTTTTTGTTTTGTTTTGTTTGTTTTTCCTCTTCATCTTGCTATAGAGTTCCTCTACTAGTAAATATTGCAATAGCCAGGCCTCATGAACTGGGGGCTGTCCCATTTGCAGGGGTCTCACGTCACTTCAGTAGGGGGCAAATCGGCTGTAGCCACCTCGGTATAAACTCGCCTGCAGTAATTAAAGACATAAAAATAATTAAAAGATTGATGAGAGAAGCATTAAAAATGAAGGAAAATGTCCTGAGAAGGAATCTGGGAAAACAGCTTCCTTGGACACTTCAAAGCAGCTGGTTAGATGCTGCCCGGGTGTGCAGTGAAGTCAGGAAACCCACTCTGCCTCCAAGATGCTCAAACCAGCGCCCAGAACATTTACAGCCAACCTGACCTTCTCAGAAAGAGGGCATGCTAATGGTTCATTTTGTGAACCATTGGTTCATTTTGTAAACATGAACTACCATGGAAGGGAAAGTCAATACAGTTCAAAACTAGGTCTGTAAATAGTTTGAATTTAAAAGCATGGGTCTTTGTTTACCTTGATTACATCATTATAATCATGACCTTCTTACACTTTACCTGTCAGTGGAAAACATGTTACTTCTGACTGCTCTCTCATATCCCATGTTTGAGATAGTGTTGGGTTTAAACCTGAGTCAGTCTTTCAACTAATAGAGCCTATTTCCTCTATAATCTATAAAACACACCAAAGTTGTTCCTTGACATATCCAAATTTACACGTATATATAACTGGAGTTTTAACTGGGCTTTACTCCTGCTTCATGTTTATCTAATGGTTTCTTTTTTTCAAATAAAATATCCCTAGGAACATAGCTCTCTTTGGCCTATTCTTTTAGTAGAGGACTTATATCATGTTGGCACTAAATAAAACCTTAGGAACTTCACCACCTTCTTTATATTGTATGTCTCTACCTCAATTCTAAACACACACCACCTCCGACACCTCCCACCCCAGGACCCTATTATTTCCTCCCACAAATCCTCATCAGTAAAAACTCAGTGTGTGACAATGATGGGCTCTCTCATTGTCCTTAAGCCTTAAATCTGGCCCATCATCTCCCTCCCTCTCAGACACCTTTGTGCATGCTCCCAGGCAGCTGCCCAGCGGCATCTCAGATTGCAGAGTTTCTGGCATTAGCAGGCATCATTGTGGAAAGGCCTCCTTGGCTGGAGCCTGTGAGACCCTATCATTGGACCTGGAGGTGTCCAGGCCAACACAAAAATGCTGGGGTGAGGATCTGAGTTCAGTTAGGAGGGATCATTATAGAAGAGCTCTATACTTCTGTGAAAATACCATATTGCACGACAGATGTTACTAATAACGTATCTTTGTAAAGCGTTCATTCGCCTGGTGATTTCTAGTACTATCTACCAGAAGGTTTAAGAGTAGCAGGGACAGCCTTTGGCATCTGCATTTGAAACTCATACAAATTAAGTTTTTTGAAAAGCTTACTGTGAAAACTGAAGAGTCTCATGCCCGGTCTTTGCTAACACCTATCAATAAAACTGTACCACAGGTATGTATCCCACATTCGAGCCAATGTAAAACATCAACCTGTTCCCTTCTTTCTCTCCCAAACAGTGCCATTACTCAGGGCAGACTGTCACCGTTCATTTCTTCCCACTGCCCTTAACCAGGCCACATGGCTCATACTATAATGCCCAGGGAAAGAAGGTGATGTGAAATTTCCAGATAGTCCCTGTGTGGTTTTAATACCTTAGCAATGGAAGAGGGAATAAATTTACTACATCTCTAGATCTTTTGTAGCCTGTAGGTGAAAAGTTAGTAGGAGTAGAATGTTTAAAAACAAATTGTACATATACTTACCACAGCGCCAACTCCATAGCTAGCGGCAGGGGCAAGGGCATGGTAGGGGTCAGCTGTGTACACCCTGCCATAACTGGAAAGAAGAAAGACAATCAGGGAGAGAAAGGAAAGACAGCAATCCCCCGATGAAAGGGTTTACAGTGCTAAGGACTTGTGAGTGGCTTGGTCTTGGAACGTTATTAGGGAACTAGCAGAATGGAAAAGACCTTCAGATTTCTACTCCTAAATGCAGAACTCTCTTTAAAATGGAAAAGAAGGGAGTCAGAGACAACAAAGAGGGGGGCTGGGGAAAAAGGAGCCAGTGCCACCTGCTTTTGGTATGACAGAGGCCGTGAGGAGGCCAGGTCTGCAGGCAGACCCAGGTACCAGGTGCAGCTCCGGTGCGGGGAGGCGGCGACACGCGGCGGGGCGTACATACCCGTCGCTGTAAGCGGCGGCGGCGGCTGCAGCAGCCGTGGCTGCGGTTGCAGTAGCAGGCTGTGCATATCTGTAGGCTGCATATCCGCCCTACAGGAGAGAAGAGAACTGACTTTACAGCTACCTCTCCCCCGGGAAGCACAGGTGAACACACACCCACCCACACGCAGACGGACAGACGCTGGGAGACACAAACACAGACACACACATGGGAAGAGGGTGTTTCAAACTGCATCAGTCCACATGTTACTCCTCTAGAGCAAGAGCAGCTCCCTCCAGCGCAGAGATTTGTGCTCCAATTTGTGATGGTAATAAAATAACCCATCCTGGTAGTACCTGTTCTCAAATTTAAGAAATAAAGATATGAGTTTTGATCCGTCTCATTTCAGCCTCTGCTGGAACTTTCCGCAGGGAAAATATTTATAGGAAGTTGGGAGAACTTTGACAGGAAATATTAATTATAGAATGAAAACATTAAGTTTATGGGTATTAACTTCAGATTCCCTGATGCATACTCAGACTGATTTATTGCTAAGACACTACAGTATATAACAAAGGCCCCATATAGAGCTATGCTCCATCAGCCTAGCATGTTTGCCAGGAGGCTAAGATAGTCAGGCAGTATTTAAAAGGAAAAACTAGGGTAGATTAAGAGTTGGCAGACTTCAGCCTGTGAGCCAATGTCACTTGCCACCTGTTCTGAAAGTAGTTGTGAAAGAGGCTGTATGGCCTACAAAACTGGAAATATTTACCACTTGGCCCTTTACAGAAAAGTTTGCTGACTCCAACCTGTTTTTCAGATTCTGGCAAGTCAGACTACACATGGCTGACCCTCTTGGCTGGATTCAAATAGAGATTAAGAATCCCCTACCCCAAGCACTAACTGCATTTATTCCCCTTTCCTAACAATGCTGGTCTCAAATCCTGATGGGACAGCAGGCTGGGAGCTTTTCTTTCAATGGCTCAAATATCCTTTCCGTCCTAAGGACTTTCAAATGCTCACGTCCCACTATTTCACCTCAGTTTCCATGAACCAAATACTGTGAAGGTTTTCACTGTCGGGTGAACCACATGCACTCCAGAAAGGAGTGCAAAGGTAACCACACAACTGCACAGGAGGCAGGCTATTACCAAGGGGCAAACTCTACCTTGGCTGCTTCTTTACCCTTCCAGTATTCATGTATTTTATCTAAATGTAAGTCAGGTATGAATTTTTATTATTGCCTTTCCCTATTAAACAGAACCATGCTCAACTGGCCCATTTTGACACCATTTCAGGAGTGGATGACAGCACATTTCGTTTCTGTAGGTTAGCATGTCCATTTCTCACAGACATCAGAAGCTTTCTGCCCTGTGCTTTCTACTTCCTATTCCCTCAAATGTTCAAGTTTTGCAAAATCTACACAAGGAATTTCAAATTTCCTTCTGCACTGTTTCTTAGGATAGGTAACAAATATTTTCAAGTTGGCCTCCTTGGCCAGCTGAAGTGGGAGCTTCTAGCTTGCTGCTTTCATTTCTGTCCAAATCTTATTTTGGAAATATCTGCAATTTCTTAGGGGCTCCTAAAGCTTTGTGCTTCCTTTTAATATAATGTATGCTTTCTCTAACTGGAGAAACTGCGCTGTGGAGGAACATTTACTCGTGCTCTTTAAATTTATCTGCTTGAAGTCATCAGAAGTAGCTTCAAATGTGCATTTTTAAAACCTCTGATTGGCTTTCAGTGGTTACGTGTTATTCCTTCTTTGTTCTTCAAGGGAATGTCTTAGAAAAAAGTAAACATTTATTTCTCAACTACAAGTTCTACAGATATTCATATAAATAAGAAAATTCTAATTAATATTAGCAAGCACTGGAAATGACATGGCCATGAATGGGACATGGTGGGAAGCGCCGCAGGGGCTGTTCTCGATCTGCATGTCTCCTTTTGCCCTAGTCGGTTCTGTGGGAGCGGGCAGGCCGGACCAATGTGGGCAAAGCTGTACATTCTGGCGGCAACCTCTACACATACCCATTATGCCACTTATAAACTAACTGAAGTTTCTCTTTATTTCTTTTTTAAACTTCTAAAAAGGAAATGAAGTAGTAAAAGCATTTGTTAAAACAACAAGCTAATAAATACTGTTGGAATGTTGGGCTTTAAATGGACCTTAAAGGCTCAGTTTTCATTGTAACTAGAGATGGCTCCATTAGTTCAGAATTAACGTTTGCTACTGTGAAGTCTGGAGCAGGGTCACCTTTGTTAGAACTTCTCTGTAAACCAGGATGTGGTAAGCAAGCATTATGCCGTTTGTCTCTAGTATGCCCTCAAACACCCAAATAATCTTTAAAAATTGAAAAAGTCAAGGTAATAAAAGCAGTTAAAGCCCAATATTTGTTTACTTGAGTAGAACATTTAAAAACTAAAGTTCTACGCCATAGGGCTCACAGTACTGTTCGTGTTGCTAAGATGGAGATTTTGGGAAGTACATCATATCAGTACAGCTTCGAGCTGCATCTCACTATTTCTGGAAAAAAGAGCTTCTGAATGGGGTTCCCAAAAGAACCACTTCCCCTCCCTTTCCTCAGCCGCCAGAAGCCATTAGAACCTCAGTGTGTTGGGGCTAAGTTACTGTCAATCCAAAGGGATCAGACTGTGGGGAAGAAGTTTCCCTCCAAGCCAGGAGACGGACAGAATCTGTCTGCAGTAGTTTCCTTCTCTGAATAAGTGAATCCGACCTTGGAGCTTGAATTTGATGGGGTCCTCTGCTATTCAAATTTAGGAAAACAGGGCAGGGCTGCAAATATTTTACTGACAAGAAAAGGCTCAAGAAGAATATCAACATTAAGAAAAACTACATTAATGTATGCTTTTTAAAATATAACTACTATGACTACTCCTCTAATTACTCTATGATAATGGTGTTACTGAGGGGTCTTTTAAAGGGGGTCTATGTTTAGGACGGGCAGGTAATATCCTAATAAACGAATCTGGTAATTCATCAATGACTACCCCAAAATTAGAAAAATTAAATTGTATATCATGGATTTACTTGTCTTAGAGGTAGTCTTACTCCAAAGTATTTCTGCTCCTTAAAATTGGTTATTGAACAAAATACATCGCATAATATAAAGCAGGACAAAGAAAATTCAGATATATTTATTTCGATTTTAAATTAGGAGCGAGTAAAGATTCCAGGCTGAGAAACCTCTCAGTTTCCCTTCTACTAGCAAATTTGAAGTCTTTTCTAGAACATGAGAACAAAGTGCAGTTTGAAACACCAAGGTTTTCATTACTGTCTCTTAAGTTTTTCAAAAAGAACAAGGGTGGGGAAGTGGGTAGGAGAGACAGGGTTCAGGCGTGGGGAGGGGATATGGCGCCACATTTATTAATCACATTAAGAACTAAGCATGCCAACATCTGGAGCTAAAACAACCAGCAAAATCACCACGTTCAGACTCGGATTGGCTAACTCTATCTATCCCAGCATTCTCTTGGGACAGCGGTTTGCCCTAGGCTCTACCACAAGCTCGGTGAAGTACACAGCCTCAATTACTAGAGCGTGCAGCCACAACGACCTGGTATTACGGAAACAGTCAGTCACCACTTGAGTTAACATTCCATACCCTAACGACTGGCCCCTCCCCAGCCCAAAGAAATAGGAAATCTTGCCCACCCTAGCCCTGGCCCACACCACAATGTTAATAATTATAACAAGCAGTAACCCATCTGTTATATCAGAGAAGGGAACAGAGACTCCACTGAGAGATTTAGAGTGAGATGTTAACATTTCTTCAGCTGACTGCACAAACAAACAAACAAAAAAAAGAGGAGAAATAATTCATTTGGAGATATGAAGTCATGAAATAGCTGATGTGTATTGCTTTTAACCATGCACTGATGCAAAACTGAAGCAACCATTAATAATAAAAATTAAAAAGGACATATGTATTTACACACAATCAGACCTGTTTGATCTGAAGCAGTTTGCAGATTCTATCTGTGTGTGATTTGAAATAAAACAAAAAATGGGGATTAGCATGGCCACAGCACATCCTAATGTAGGAGGGCACACACGGACAGCTTTTGAACCCTGATTGCTGGATAAATTTGGCATGGCTAAGCCCTATCCAAATACACACATTTCCCTTTAAAAATAACTACTTTCTTATTCCTTTGCAATTCATTCTGAATGATTCCTAGTGCTCCCAATGGGGGGCAGCCTAATGCTACATGGCTCCCCTGTTCAATCTCCCTGACCCTAACAATGTGACTCGGTCCTGACCTGCAGCACTCACGTGTATGCTTGCCCTCTGTCAACACCCATACATCTACCCACAGTGCTCTAAAATATTTCCCGTTTAAGCACTGTATCATTACACATAGCTATAACATACCTCTGCCTTCAAATTCCAGCGTTTTCAAAAGAAAATCCTTTTGTTGTTGTTAAAGTCTCAGTTTTCCATGGCTCAAAGTCACCTCCTAGGGATTTTCTACTGCTCTCGATCTAATTAACTTTATAACGTTGCCACGCTGACCACATGGTTTTCTGCACAGTTCTGCAGCTGTGCTTTAAACCAGAACAAAATGCAGGGTTCTACATATCGTCCCTCCTGTATCTGACCTTTATCTGCCACTCTATTAGCTCAATCTCACACTGGCAGATTTTCCCCATCTTGATTTTAACCTAGCCTTTAATTTCATTATATTTTGTTTTAGGTTTACATTAAAACAGGACTTTGGTGAGCATGTGATGTCAAGACACCTTCATTCTACCTGAAGACAATGACATTATGTGACACTGAGGAGAAGGGTGTGTATTTCAAGACCAGCAGACAAAATGAAAGCTCATTCCCTATATGTACAGGGCTGGGAGAGCTCATTCCCTATGTGTGTGGGAGGAATGGCAGGTGCGTTGCTGAAAATCACTGCAGCAGAGAGCGCTGCTCCAGCTGGCTGGGCTCGAATGCTGTGCGCCTCTGTGACTCTTATTTGTCCCTACATGACTCTAACCCCCTCCTCCATTTGCCTTCTCCCCACTTCAGCTGGGAACCGCTGCTCTAGCTACTCTAGATTGCTTTCGCATGAGGGGCTCTTGAGGAGACAGAGTTCTTATGTGGCAACATGGCGCCTTTGACTGAAAGTGAGTAACAGACCTGAGTACAAAAATTTATAATTGTTATAATCAACTTGTTATCTCTCACTTCTAAGAGAGATAAGAGATCATCTTTAATGAATTTAACCTTTCAAACACTCTATTATTCCACATCTCCCCAAAGTCGTTCATTTCCAAACTCTCGCTGGGTAGCTACATAAATGAACTAATTGAATTGTGAAACACTATCCTAGTATCCAGCCATCAGCAGCAAGCCTTCTAACAGTGCATTAGAATCCAAATGGATTCACTGATCTTGTTTTAAGGTGAAAGGAAAAGCAGAAGGAAAATACATGTTTCAATTTTAGAGTCCCAATATGTCTATATTTTTAAGGCAACTTCAACGTAATGTAGCAGTATAGTCCAATTACTACTACAATTCCACTACAGGGCCCAATCTGGGATTCAGGAGCCCTCTTTGGACAGATTCTACTTCCTCCCTTTCCTCATTTCTTTCACAGTGGTAAGAAAATGTCCCCACCTGCTAAGATCTCCAAATAGAAAAGCTGGTTTAAACACCACTGTTCAATGTGATTTACAGACTAAAAGAGGTGGCAGTGATGGGATAGTGCATTAACACGCCCGATGCGGATATGTGGCAATGGGACAGGAGCACTAAATTTTGGAGCTAGTGCCATCATGTATGAACTTTACTGTGTGCACTGCTGAGGTAGCAGGGCTTAGATCACACGCTCACAAGTCTTGATTGTCCAAAAAAGCCTCTGTTCCCATCTCTAACGTGGAGCTGGAATGGTTAGTATAATTCAATTTTTTTCACTGCAATCCACAATCTGATTGATCGGCAGGTCACACTGGCACGCCTACCTGAGGTATTTTAGCGCTAATGATTGGTTCCTGTAAGACTATTCTATAACAGAACACAGGAAGAGCAGTTCAAAACACAGCTGTGGAAGGAAAACGATCATACAAAAAGCCCGCCAAGGGGCCCACCAGCCTTTTCTTTCCTCTGGATGCAAGCATGCTTTTCATGGGCTGACAATTAGCAACAGTTTGGTACCCACTTAAAAGTGAATTAGGGTGGACCCATGCCTTTTCTACTGGCCAAATAAAAGGGGGCAGGTGGACAGAATCTATCTCCCAAGTCTTAGCGGGGGAGCAGGGGTCCCTTTACAAACTGCGGGCACAATCGCTCGATCAGCTCTCCAGAGAAGAGTGTGCCATAAAAGCAACAGGGAGGAGGGGATGGCTACCAGGGCTTTCGGCCTAAGAGCAGATCAGGGAGAAGAGACTGTAAAACCGCCACAATTAATAGTCTAAATTAACATAACAAAACTAAACCAGCACCTTACACTCTGTTCCCCCGTGTCCCCTCTCAAGTTCAGTGCCCGCTGTTCTACACCAGATGAACCGTCCACTCTTTCCATTCCTAACCTACCCTCTGAGGAAACGAGAGCTAAGCACACGACAGATTTCCACAGATGGAAGGCACAGAGAGAAGCGGAACGGACTCAGGGTAAAACAACAGCGCTTTCCTGTGTGTGTTTTTAAGACACACCCTTTACTCCCTCACAGATGAAATAGGGAGCATAAAGTTTTAAAAGTGGAGTTATATTAGGCCTCACTCAACATTTAGCTCATAATGTATTCTTATTTTCATTAGTAGACTCGGATACTATTTCAGCTCTAGTGACCAACTTTTTCCTCCAAGTAACCGCACTAAGATAGGAACTGAAAAATGATAACATTACTATTAAGTCTTTTCATCAACAAGGGGTCATGGGTCAAAAACACTTAGTAAGGTCACTGAATTACTTCTGTTTAGCTTGATAAGGTAATCCAGCAAGAAGATAAAAAATTCAAGGTTTTTTTTTCTCAACAAGTGCAGAAACATCATCTCTCTCTTAATGAAATCATATATTGTGAACTAAGGAAGGGAGAGAACTGTCAACAAATATTTTTGGTTGGTTGACTTCAGGTGGAATTAGGTCATACTTTTAAAAAATCCCCAAATATGGAACATATTCAAGAGGAAAAAAACTTGATTTAAGAAATAATTCATAGAAAAAGTATGCTCTAATAGATTTCAAGAAAACAACTTTAATAACATAAAGATGAGTTTCATGAGAATATGGATACTAATGTACATGACAGAATGTACATGCTAAGATCACATGTAAATGTGCACATTTAGAAAAGTGTAACTTGGTGTAAAACTAGGATATATTTCCCTAATCCTCAAGTTTCACTGTGAGCACAGAAAAGAACACACCTTTCAATACCTCTTGAAAATCATCTGAGGAAAGATGTGAATTTTGACTAAATACTAAGAGGTAATGAAATATGGATTAGTTGTGTTTGGTTATAAAAATAACTCATGTAATCCGGGGTGAGTCACAATCTCTCTGAGAAACGTATCTATGAAGTGAGAGGGTTGGGGCCGAATCATGGCTAAGGTTCCTTGAAGCACTTGTCAAATTAAAGGGTACTGTGAAGGTCTACTCTACATGGGACAGGTGTGTACAGTTGCTTACAGCACCTCATAGGATCATCTTATACTATCTCTGCTTTCTGCTACACAGACCCTTCAAGTACATTCTGAAAGTGCTCAAACATTTTTAGATTGCCAGAGAATCTTTGGCTGATTGTGAAAATTAGTTCACTAAAAAGATACCCTTATTGATTTTGGGGGGTAAAGGTGGAGAAAGCATTTCCAAACAATTGTAACCTAGGCCAAGAAATAATTTCATGATGACAAATTTATCTCACACAACTGTTCCTTAGTGATTTGATGGTTAGACCAAGCTTGCATTCAGAAAAAGGTCATTTGGGGAGGTCCCAACAAAAGACATCAAAAATCACAAACTTTGACTCTTTGTCAGTTAGATCACTTTGTCCATATTTTAAATAAAATGTGACAAACCAATCACAGAATTCCAGCTATAGCTAGACAGTCTAAGTAATGGATTGCATGTTAACATGGCTGGTAGAATCAACACATCATGTATGATAGTCCAATGTGTGTAAGAGAAGTCTGGGTAGCTAATTCTGCCCATTTCCCTCTTGATGGCTCTTAAGGAAAGAGACCCTCCAGTTGTGAACCTTTTGATAAAGAAAGGCCTTAGGCAACTGAGTATTTGGTTTCTTCTCATTCCTACCCACTCTCCACTGGCATCCACCCCTTCTTTCACTTTCACATGATAGTGCTCTCTCAAAGTATGGAAAACAGGAAAACACCAATTCAGAAAGCTTACTGCCATCTGCCTAAATCAAAGCTCTAATGATCTAAAGAGGGATGTGAAATGAGAAGAAAAGCAGAAAAGGGAAAGAGTTGGTTTAAGGCTAAGCTGTCCAGTCATTTATGTATGCACATGATACGACAGTAATAAAAGACTTTAAACCTGCTGATAATCTTGCAAATATGTTAGTGATCCATAGACCAACTGTGGGTATAGGGAAGGGAAAAGAATATGTCCAGTAGACTGACTCTGGCAATGATGGAAACCCAAAGGCTTAGTTTTTGCACCCAGGGGCAAGCGCAGTGGCAGAGAAGCATGCTTGCATTCTTAAATATATAAATATATATATATCCACAAGGAAAAAGAAAACAAAAACTAAATAAATTATATTTTAAAAAACCAAATCAAACCAAAGAAACAGAAAAAAAAAGGCTGGCTTGTCAGGGGGTGGGGTCGAGAAGGCCCCAGTGTGTGTACTTACATAGAGGTCAGCACCGTAAAATCCGTCCTGGTAAACCACACTGCAGAAAATCCACACAAAAACAAAAACAAAAAAACAAAAGAACAGAAACACATTCCGGTTATTGAGGACGGCAGCATGCACATGCGCTCTACACGGGCAGGTGATGTATGAATACACGACCTGGGCTCGGGCCATGGCCAGTCAGTGAGGAGATGGGAAAGCGCACACAAGTTACTCAAGTCCAGGACACGCGAGGAAGGAAAGGAATGCGAACCTGGAATGACCCACCTGGATGTCTGGCAATTAAAGTAAGATGAAAACAATAGAGTATGCCCAGCGGGCCTAACATAGCTGCTGAAAATCTGCTGGAAACATCAACTCTTCATACCTGGAGTATTTGTAAAATAAGCTTGCCCTAGGAGGAAGTTTTTCTTTAAAGAGGGGCAAAAGGTGTGTGTGTATGTGTGGGTGGGTCGGTGGGTGGGTAGGGGTGTGGGGGCTGGCGTGAAGAGAGGGGTTTAACATGAAAAAACTGAACACAAAGAATTCCATTAAGGCAAGACCTAGGCAAAAGTATATTCCAAAATTATGTTTAGTATTTTGTTTTATTTTCGTAGTAACATGTAAATTTTTTCTGATATCCATACATCACCTGCTTTTTACCCTGCACATTAGACATGCGATAAGATTTGGCTGATCACACAAGCATGCAAAGTATTATTATTCAGCATTTTAAGAACCAATGCAACACCTCAGAAAAACAAGTCAATCAATTCTGACCAAAGTAAATAGAGAAATGTAATTAAAAAAAAACACAACCAAAAATACCCACAATGCATTGCTTTCACAAGCAGAGATAATGAGCTTATAAAGGTTAAGGTGATTGGTCCAAGGTCCAAGAATTGAAAGGTGCAGTGGGGATCCCAGATAGTAACAATATAATCCAGAGTGGGAAGGAGTAACGGGAAGATTTTAAGGGTTCTTTTTTGATCCTAAGAATATTCATGGAATTCTGAAAAATACAATTGTTAACTAGAGTTCTGGGCATGACCTGTTTTATTTAAAAGAATAAAACTGAAAAGGTTGCTGATTAGGAGCAGAAGGGTTTATTTTCCTGTTTAGAACATTAATTTGTATGAATCAATCAAAGTACATGAATCTTTTTGTTTTAATCCTAAGCAAGACTAAACTATTAAAATTAAAATACAGATTTCAAACCTTTTGAGGTATTTTGGCATTTGTGCATATAATTTCCCCAAAACATTACTTTGGAACTAAGAGACACAGAACAGTGGTAGAGCTAAAAGATAAGACTTTCTTCTTCATAAATGTTAAATCAAGATTTGTCTATTTTAAATCAGATGTTTATTGTTTATTCAACTAAACAAACTGGAAAATTTCACCACTACCTTCTCTGTTACAGTAAACAAGTTAGCAAGTAAAATCATCACATCACATTTTCAACTTGAACATGAAATCACTTTTATATGTAGCAGGAAAGTTTCTGAATTCTACTTCCAGTGACTTTTGTTGTGTTTATAAGACAGCAGGGTCACACTCTGCAATGCCCCACATATGCTGTGGCTTTGTCTTACACAACAGGCAAATTAAACTCATCTGTGATGTTCATTTAGCTAAGTCCTATTCATTTTCAGAGTCTCTGATTGCAGTTAAAGAATGGTATCAGAAAGTAATCTGCCTCTCAACTGCACTTTTCTAAAATGGAGACTTGTTCATAATGAGATGTCTACTAAAATGCAAAGCATAGATGCCAAGTGGTGATTAGTTAACCAACTATTTCAGTATGGGGATACAGGAAAAAGACTGAAAAATATTTCTTCTATAGAGAAAAGTGGTGACCTTAAAAACATGAATAAATTTTACACTAATTTTGCATCACTTATTGGGAATATTCACCTAAATTCTAGAAGAATTTCAATATTCCCTGTATCAAATACCACAAGGAAGCTAGAACACAATGATTAATGATGAAATTAGTTTACTAAGCTGAGAAGCAATTTTAGGCCATTCCCCATAAAATACTGGACTTATTCCTTGCCATCTTCCATGTAAATAAGGTGGTTTAGTTAATAAAAAAGAAAACATGGGAGATTAGTGTTCAATGTAATGCATGGAAATTGATGTAATTAGACATAAAGATAAAATATCTTTGAGCAAATATACCTGACACACCTGGGAGAGGGTGTGCTCTCAGGTTTGGCCAATATACTGAAATGGCCTAGGCTGAGTAGGAGTGAACTGAGCCCTTTGTAAAGTAACTTGGGAGTAGTGCAAACAAAGGAGCCCCAAGTTCCTGCTGAGTGGCATCTCTCCGCAACTGTAACGGCCAAATCTCTTGGACTGAGATGGAAAACGCTTCATGAACAATTTTCCTAGTGTGCAGAACTTCCGAAAGGTTTGTTTTTATGTTTTACTTGATTATTTCTTGATGAAACAATACTGCATCTTTATTTACTTCTTTAAAAGGAGATGTCAGAGGCTGAAGGTCAAAGGTCAAGTGAGAGGCGAGAGGATAAAATTAAAGTAACGGCAGAAGATGGAGATGACGGGATGCATGGGAGCTGAACATCTGTGCACTGTGAGCAGAAGCTGATTTTAAGGCAGTTCCCTTCCAGTAGCTTCTGGAGCCTGCCCACTTCAACCTGCTTGCTTATCTTGTCTAATAAAAATGCTTTAATGCTGTGGAGTGGAGGACCCCTAACGGCATGCCCGCTGAGTCAATTAATGCACGCTGAATTGGCACACCTGAAAGCCAGTGCTGTCAGAAAAGGACCTACAAATCAGGCTCTTTCCCTCAGATTTTAACTAAGTGGTAATGAACAGGCTCCTCTGCCTCTACATTTATTCCTCCGTAGGAATATGGGAAAAAACACACACCTGTCACAGGCAGAGAAAAGGTAAAGAACGCAAGTGTCACATCTCTGAGGAAGGAAAGTACTTGATACAACTCCCTTATAAAAAGTCCACTGGAAAAATATACATTTTAGGCTGACCCTGAGAAACAACTAAAAACAAAAGCTGCCACCTTCACTCCTTCCCCCCACTCAGTAACAAAGGATTTGTTTGTTGCTATGGAATCATTCCACTGCATGAGGCACCCTCCACGCGGAAATCCAAGGGTGAAGGATGCTCAGCTACGTTAGTTGTTTTACCACCACTCAGAAGCCAACCGCAGTTTAATTCTTCCTACTTCTCCCTTTCTCCCTTGATTCAATTGGACTTGGTTCATCTTTGAATTAACCTCTTTTTATCTGTTTCCTACAAAGAAAGCAAATCCATTGTGGGTAACTAGCTCTGCTGCTCACCACCCAGGCAGTGAAAGCAAGAGGGAGGGCACATGTGAGAGCCTCAGCCTCAGCCCCAGCCCCAGCCCAGGGTGGTGATGGGGGTGAGCACAGCAGATGCAGGCTCGGACTACAATCTTGAGCTCCTATTTTGGTTCTCTGCAGTAATGTTAATCCACATTCGTGCGATGCTGAGTGAACTCCATGCCAACACATTGCTAGTAAACACAAGACGGTTCTGGCTACTGTCTTAAGCCACTACCTTGAGGGCTTAAGGTGGCCAAAATGAAGATTTACATAATGAATTGATATCTGTTATATTCTGATGATGGTATATTTTGGTTCTTGCCATCTACTCCATTAATTTGCAAATATTCGTAGAATCTCTACTATGTGGCACGGCAACGTCCCAGAAGTTATAAGAGGGCCACGGTATTTTTTTGTCCGACTGCTTATTCTGGAATCTAATACTTACCCTGGATAGGCGGGAATGGCTGTTGGAGGTACCGCTCGGACTGCACCATAAACCGTCCGCCCCCTGCCCCTCAGATGGGCTCCTCTGAAAGCGGCCGCCGTGGTGGCTGCAGTTGGGTAAGGGAATCCAGGAACTAAAGGGAGACCCAAAATATGACAGAAATGTCAACTTTGATTCAACAGTAGGTATACAGTCACAACTTACTTTGAACCAATTACAGGAAAGATTAAAAAGTATGTAGCACATCTTTTCTGAAAAAGAAAGGGAAAGTGAACCAATATGCAAAAGCTCGCAGCGGCACACCTCGTTCATCACAATCTCAGCGAGTTCTCTGCTCCCTCCCAGTTCTGGCATCGCAATGCTAGCCCGTGAGCAGCAGTCAAAAGCTCAGAGAACTCCCGCCATGGTGAGAGATGACACTTCATTTCTGTGGGCAGTTTAAATGGACTGATATAAACTCTTTAACTGGCCAATTATTAACCTTGTTTCCAACATTATTATGTGCATATAGAAATCATTCATCATAGGAACATTCTTTTGTGTTTTTACAGGGTGCAAAACTCCAAGGAACACAATAGTCTTCCGGCATTTCATCCCATTAGTCAACTTTATTCCTTTATCTAAAGGATTTTAATCCAGAAATGTAAGGTGAGAGGGAAACTTTCTGTCCCTTGCTGCCTTGTACCCTGTAAGGAGGCAGACGCTGTCTAAGGGTCTGTTTTAAGGGTGCTCTGCTCCGGAAGGCATGCAGACACCAATTCCACGTCCACCGGACTAATTCTACCTCTTGCTGGAGCAAAATGGCTCAGGTCAAAGTAACTTTGAGATAGAACAGAGCTGAGGAAAATCGACAGTCTTGACGGTGCTTTTAAGTGCTACTCTACCAGAGGGCCAATGCTGACTTGACAGCATTATCTCCCTGAGAATGCCTCCTTTTCAGTTATGCATTATACTTGGGGGAAAAAGACTTGTAGCACATCACTGCTTACTCACAACAGTCAAAATCCATGCCAGGCCAACATAGGCTACTTACTGATTAAAGGAATGTAAGTGTTAATGCCCCCTCTTCCTGACAGGGGCACTGCCGCTTCATTGCCCAGGGACACATCTGCTTGAAAGCTGGATGCTGCTTGCATTTAAAAAAATTTAAAAAATGCAAAAAGATTACAAAGGAATAGTGAATTGCAAAACAACAGATGTTGTTACAGTTAAATAGCACACATGGAAAAACCAACTTAAATACTACCTGCATATAACTCGGGGCCATATACAGCTCCAACCACGGGGCTTAATTTCCAACCTGAAATGGAAGAGAAGACAGTGAGCATTTGCGACGGCAGGAGGAATACGGCCAACGGAGTGATGCACAAGCTGGCCTCAGACCGGGGGTTATTTCTGTCTAGTCCCATCCCTTCCTCAGAATGCCACTTGGGGTTTATATGAGAGGGCAATGACGCTTCCAGACCCGATTATCTTTAAGCAGGACTAGCACAGTGAAGGGGAGGGGTTGGGGGAGGGGGAGGGATGAAGGGAAAGGAAAAACGGGGAGCGGGGGGACAAGGGAAAGGGAATGGGAAGGGAAAAGGAAAGTAAGCACATCTTGGGGTTTGGTACAGTGTCTCCCACAGAACTGCCTAATGACCTGTTCTTTTGTCCAGGAAAAGGAAAAAAGGCAGAGTCTAGTATACGTCACTCTGAATCACGCTGTGACGCACTCTCATGTGCCACCCTAACACTGCTCAGTGCCTGGGTGCTTTATGAAGGTGCCCTCTGACTGAATTCAAGTCTGGCCTGGATCTCGGAACTCCCCGTTCCCTTATACCACGCTGATGGGTTCCAGGGAAACGGAAATTTCTTTTCATCAGCATTTACCATTGGGGCTTCACTGCGGTTAACCAAGCCAACAAGGAAAAACACACAGTAATAAAATTCAAGCTACACTACCAACTTCCATACATGTCTTCTGAGATTTTAATTTGTAATGAATACATTTAAGTTAATCAGACTTTTAAAGGATACTAGACTGCCGATGAACCTTAGCTTAAGCATTTTAAAATTTTAAGTATTTGCAAACATTAGGCTTGGTATCAATTGTATTTCTTCATTCCCTCTTTATATTTACAGGAACATGGCAAGTGTTAAATAAAATGCCTACTGTTACAGATTAGAATTACATACAAAAACTTTAATCAATCAATATTTATTGAATTTTACACATAAATAAGCAAACATGCCCTATTATGTTTCTGACGGCAATATAAAAGACCGGCTCTTTGGTTTACTTCTTCTATATTAGTTAGCTCAAGGGCCTAACACTGTGCCACTGCAACTCCGTAAAATTATGAATGGAAAGAAGAGGTCAATTACCAGATTTAAATGGCTACATTATTCAAGAGAAAACCCATTCATTCTGAATCAATCCAATCCCCATTCATTATTTTATTGTTCACAGACATGCCCGTTCATTATTCTATGTAAATATTGGCCCAAATCTGGGTTTAAAGCCTACTGGAGTTGTAAGAACGCAAATGCCCTGTAATGTCAGACAGATCAAGTAATTCCAACCACCATAAATAAAATCTGCAAATTTGCCGGAAGGGCACCCAGCACACTCTGGTCACAACCTTTAACACTGCAGAGGCAGATTTCTACAGTGTGGCTCCATTAGACCTGAATACTGATTTAGAACAATATTAAAAAATGACCCTTCTCTTTCCTATCAATGGCACTATTACTTAAGCACTTCCTTTAAATGCATACAATGGATGCGCATTATAATAATGGTATACAATGGTATGCTGTCAATAATGTTGAATATGTTCAGTTTTGTACAATTTACAATGTATTTTCACAGACATTTATGTAATTTTGATCTTCACAAAACCCAAGATAAGTATCACCTGTGGGACAATGAGTATGTACTATATTTCTCTGGGTTTAATTTCCTAAATAATAAGAAGCTAAAAAGGTTGAATTCTGATGACTTATAAAGAGCTTCCTGATGCTAGAATTCTGTGACTGCAAATTTAGAGATGAAAACAGATCAGGCAGATTAGGAAACTGGCTCACGGTCAGAGTAAAGTGAGTCAAACCTAGAAGCAGAATCTGTGACCTGAGTTCCACCACTCTCCCGGGAGCTAAAGGAAATCTAACATACTTTGCCTCTCCTTTTTTGTCTGCACTGCATTTTTATCAGAATTGCAGACACTTCCACTTTTGTGAGAGCAGTGAAAAGAAGAAAACGAGGTACAGTGGGAGGCAGTGGAACCACGTGATAAGCCGCTGATAAAATAAGTAGGGAAAATGCAATTATGCTGACCTGTACCATCTGTTTGAAAAGCTAGTTAAATCTACATTCAATACTAATATACTCCTATTTGATTTAAGACATTACCAGCACATACTGTCACTCTAGCAGTTAGGTCCAAACTTTCACAAAGCACTAAAAAGGGAGAAACTCCCCCTTTTATTCTAGATAAGAGTTGCAGAACTCTAAAATATACAACAGAGAATGAGTTGCTCAGATCAAAGTAGAGCTGAAAGCCTCAGGACCCAATCCATCCAGTTTCCTTCCCCAGCCAAGATGGTCCTGTAGAACACAATTTGCAAACCACTTTTGTACAGAAGATTAAAATGATATTCCATTTCATCTAGAGAATATGAATCTAGATTAAATTTGACAACAGATGTAAAAGTTCTGTTTCTGTTAGACCAAAGAGTCACAGAAAATTTTCTTCTCAATGAAAAAGATGTATAAACTCACTACATGACATGTAGTCATGGAATAGAAAACAGAACACACCCCCCCCCC